GGAACACACATCCGAAGTTTTGATCATATAGAGTTTCGTCTAACAGTGCATCAGAGGTCACAATAAACGACTTATAGTGTATTTAAAAAGATATAAATGAATGTTCCTTTTGAGCTCTTTAGCTTCAGTCCTGAATAACTTCTCGTGTATAATTTTTCTCACAGCTAGGATTGGAGCGTCATCTCTAACCGAGAACCTAGGTAATCAAGGTGTTTGATTCATAATCCTCAAAATATTTGTCATGGGTGTGTCTTATAGTTTTTCAGGTGAGTTGAAAGCTTCGAACCAGGGGTCTCAGAAACAAACGAGGCAAGGGAAGGAGTTCTGTGAACTGCTTTGAGTTTGTGAGAGGATGGCGCCATAAGCTCATGCGTTCCAGAACGATACGATGCGTGATATCATTAAATTAATAGTTTAAGATGACGTAGTTATGTGATTGAGTAAGTGCAGAGATCCTCGCTAGTACAATCCCGATTATGTCCTAACACAAGATCAAAACGAGTTCGTAAACTGAATCACATGTTTGCATGCCATGAAGTCAAGTTTTATGTAATAGTTAGGTCGTACTCATAAAACTAGTCGCTGGGAATGTACTTACTTACTCAATTAAATAAACTCTCAATTATTATGACAATAAATTTCGCAATTAACAATAACGTCTTTACAACCTCTGTTACAGCTGGCATCCTGATGCCAGGGAAGGTGATCCACATCTGGGCAACAAGGTCGCTCCACCAACAGGGCCAGTCGGACCAATAAACCATGAGATCTCACAAAGATATTAGACATTCAGCGAATGCAAGCTATGCCTAACTTATAATTTACTAACCAAAATATATTAAGATAAAATAAAATTAAACAAAACAATAGCGAATTGTACTAGTCCACCAACCTCACCAAGAGTGGCACCGAGATTCATTCAAACAGAGGATGAATCCCCAAGGCTAAATAAGGTTAGAAGGTTCGGGCGATGTGCCAGAATCCTGACAGATAGTAGCGTTTCATTTCTCTTCCTACTCCTCCTTTCTTTTTATTGCAAAATTCGTCTTAATCAGTGATTAGTCACTTGATTTTTAAACATTTGTAAACCCAGAGCTAATCAAGGGTCAGCAGCCTTGATTATGATGCATTTAGCCGTGCCACATCCCTGAACAGGCGGTTCCTGGGCAACTGGCGCGGCAAGCACCTGAACTGATGATGCAGAAAATGTCATCAAAGTGATAAGTAGTTTGTTAATTTGCATGGTTAAGTGGATCGATGGAGTGGATAGGTGTAGAAGTAATTTCTAAATCCTAGGATCAATTAAAGAGAATTCAACTTCTTAAATAGAAAGTGAACATATTCTAATTTACAAATAAACTCCAGTTTACGAACTTCGTAGTTACACATGCTTTTCCTTGAAGCTATACGGATCCCCGCACGTATTCGATTGAAAATCGTGCCAGTTAGATGAACGGCTCAGCGATAACACGCTTCTACTTATTTTAGGCCTCATGAGCTCATGATAACATTCTCTCACTAGTTTGTAGTTATTCCCACGAATATCACCTTTTTTATCTATCTCTGGAGTCAGGCGCAACCGCCGTGGCGCTCTGGGTCTTCCCGGAATGCTATTCAGTACATTCCTGACTGGTGTTTGGGGATTATAAATCAAACATTTTGATTCCTAGATTCTCGGTTAGAGATGACGCTTCAATCCTGGCCACAATACAAGTTCTACGTTGCAAGCTATCCAGGACTGAAGCTAAAGAGCTCAAAAGGCACTTTATTTTATATCTTGTTACATATACTGTAAGTCGTTTATTGTGACCTCTGACGCACAATTAGACGAAACTCTATATGATCAAACTTTGGAAGTGTGTTCCAAAGTACGCAAGTCAGTAACTGAATGCTGCAAGTGGAGCTCGGCCAGTCAGGTTTAGAGGGTGTAGACGATCCATATGCCAGACCACGGCCATAAAGTACAGTGCATACAACTACATGTTCTTTGACACCTGACAGCAAGTCATTGCTTATTTAAGCATTTCGAGATTCTCCATAAAACAAATGCCGAAAATTGGATACTCAAGTGCTAAGTAGGCATCTAGCTTATATATGGAGGGGCGTCATAGGTTATTTTAAGCTGGCGAATAGGCTTCTAGAGAAAAGAAGCGGATATACGGCCTAGAGCATAAGCATTTGCATTGGGCATTCTCGTATTTTGGAAATCGACCGTACCATCACTGAAGGTTTTACAAAATACCGTATGGGTGTGCTATCCGCTACAGGAAATAATGTCGGATAGACGCAACTGTTTAGTTTGCGGAATGGAATTTACTGAAACTTTGACCGATTCGCTAAATGCCGTGAAAGGATATCACCGATTTTAACACGTGGTTGCGCAATTTAGTTACTTTAGACATGGTTAGAACGGAGATTTTGTCATTCGAGAACCTGTCCGTAGTGCGTGATTCTTACAGCCATAAGATTTACCAACATGCTACCCTGGTCTTAAACAGATACCAGTTTTATTCTACGCAGTTCAGTACCCGACTTTTTCGAAAGCTGTATATCTAGAGGAATTTATATTACAGGATGGAACAATCCCATTGCAATGAAAATGCGAGTAAAGCGATCATTACAGCGTGAAACTGCGAATCGTCTACTGACTCTGTGGTTGTAAGGATATGACAACCGGATAAACATACGTACTTATCCGGTTATCGTAAAAATTTGGCACTGCACATTGATTGTTAATTTGATGCCGTGTATATAAGTGGATCACCTTCAATCACGGTGTTATCTAGATAAGTCTTTAGCACCATATAGATGTTTAATCTTTGGGCTGAGTAGATGGAAATGCGTGCGTTGGATATAGTGGATTATATAAAGAAGTCGCTTCCAACTGGAAAGAGGCCCCCACAGAGTAGAATATATCTGATACCTTATTCGCAAATATATAAAATATGAAATTCGCCACCTTAACCGCTATTATCACCGCTACAATGGTCTTTAGCACCAATGCTATCTCGTTGGAGTTAGTTGAAAGAACGCCTCCTTGTATTCCTTCCAAGGATAACAACAACCCTTGTGATTACTTGGACTAATCAACATGTATACTGTTTTAAATGAATTCTGGGCAGCTGAAATAAATATGTATACAGAGTGTATGTTAATAATATAATGAGATACTACATGAAATATGATGATATAAAAAGGGAGGTATTTCAGTAAAGGCATCACAGGTTTTCCATCCTAACTGAGGCCACAGGATATGAAACGCTGATAACGTTCCAATCCCTTACAAGTCTGAAGGCTGATACAGAGCTGTTTTAGCTGGTCTATATAAAGGCCGACTGATTGCATATTTATATATCTAATTCATACATAATGATCGATAAATTCTACCTGGTTATATCATTACTTACACAAATATGCTACATTTATGACTAAAAGACAAACCACAGAAATCAACACATTGAAGGCCAGAAGGTTTGAATAACATACCTGTATCTCAAAGGATAATATCGGGGAAGTACTGGATGGCATATTAAGGGAACTCGGAGCGCTTTCAGCCACGTTTGAAGTCACAGAGATATGCGATGAGGATGTCACTAGTTCATGTAACTTCGAGCTGGTAGGAGGATGGTCATATGTCCACACGGCTTAGGGTGGCACAATGCGTGATACCACTACACCGATCACATCAAGTGACAGATTTATGTGGTAGAATAAGTATGGAGATCATCGCTTATACAGTTCCAAGCATGTTTAGTACAAGGATGAGCATAGACTTTACACAGATGATATTCTTAAATAACACATCTATAAATTAGGATGAGAGTATTGTATCTAGCTGGTACACTAATATAATATACTTAGATATAGGTTACGTATGTAAAGGTTACAAAATAGGCAAGAGAGGCAACTTATATAGGGAAATCTATAGGCTACTCTCAGCACACTAGGAGTTGGAGATAGCCTAGAGCTGCTTCTAAATTGCTCCCGCTTATTAACTCTAACTCTAATTTGCTTGACTTCTCTTCGATATTAAGCTTACCACTGTTGGATCTTGGGCTTATAATAAACCTTAATTCTCCGTGACATTAGTGTAACTGCCAAAACCTTTAGGTCACCCAGATAACCTTTCATTGTTAACTCCAATACCATTTGACGGTAATATATAGTATGATACACTCAAACTGTCACTCTCATGTTTCTTGGAGCTCGTTGTTTCTTAAGCAACTTTCAGACCCTTTTGGTCCCTCCCGGCCTCTGAGCTAAATAATGTATTGATTAACCCTTAAACTTTATCTCTTGGTACTCTCAGTCTTGTTATGCCAATGATATTCTTTCAATCGTGTAGCTCCTTGTATCTTACAGCCCCGTTATACATACCATACCCTTGCAGTCGCGTCATTCCCTGCATCCTACAGCTTTCCAGGCATGTGACATCCTTACAGCTATTTTCCCCAATAGAATCTTCTTATTCAACCCTAATTTTAACTCGTTTAACTTCGCACTCAGCTTCGAGCTCTTGGAAAAAAGGCTTAATACGAATTATAAAACTCTCCATTGCATATATGTGACTGCCAAGTACTTCAGTCTATTCAGATATCTATCCGTTGAATTCCCCGACTCTCATTGACGGTAATTCATATGATGCACTCAGTCAGCCGGTTTCTCGGACCTCCTAGAGTCCGTTGCTTCTAAAGCAACAGGTGTACCCTTTTAGCTCCTTCCGAAGTCCGCTTTCCCCGCTCCTTCCGGTCATTCCATAGATCAGCTAACCTTTAGACCGTATCTCTTGGTTTCAGTCTTGTAATGAATTTTTATCCTTGCAGTCACACGGCTCCCAGTATCTTACAGTCCTGTGGTGCCTGCAATACCTTTTCAGTTGCGTTTTCCCTGCATCCTACAACCCCGTCATGCTCAATTTAATCCTTAGCTCTTATCTCTTGGTACTGACACGTCATCATATATCTCTCACTCGCTTTATGTTATCTATATTCTATGGAAACAGTTTGACAACTGTAACTAATCCAATAATGTCATTTCAGCAACGTAAATCCACGCATTATATAAGCCTATAGAAATTGGCAATGGTCTAGTGAATGTCAACGTCGGAAGGCACCATCCGCAGGTAAAGCTTAGACGATTTAGACCCTGTCCAACCCTACAAACAAACATTCGCCCCCATCACATGCAGATGAGATGGGGGCTGATGCATGACCAGGGTGTCAAATAGGATACCTATGTGACGGAGAAATAAGATAAAAGACGGTACCGATCCCCTAGGAAGGAGGACGAAACAGCCAGGACTCTGGATTCTAACAATACAAAGTCTACAGATATACATCTTCAAGTTATGTCACCATCTCTTTCAGTAAGTCATCGACCACCGACTTAACAGTTCGAATGCTAACTGATTAGATTCTTGCTAGCTGGGTAAACTCTCCAGGGTTGAATTGGAGACAAGTAACCCTTAGCTTGACAACGGCCAAGTTCATATTCATGAGCTATATGAATATTCGTCAACTCAGTGTTTTACTGAGAGACAAGCCCCCTAAATCTCTAGAAGCAGCATTCACACAAGATGCCTATGATAAATCTAGAGAGTACTCTCTAGACAAGATCAAGTGTTCTATAGCTATCAATATCTGGCTGTACTGTGAAAATTTAGTCTACATCAAGTTCAATGTCTACTTGCAATTGTGGCGGGCCTCTGTATATGCCAGCTCCGTTCTCCCTGGTCCTACAAAAGGCTAAATTACGCAATCAGTCCTCCTCGCGGCTATTGAGTTATTGACCCATAATTTGATGATTTTACCTTTCATGTACTATAGGGATTTTTATTTGGAAGAAAAGCACGGTTTCAACAATTCCACGTTCTCTCAGTGGCTAAAGAACAAGTTAAAGGGGTACTCTGTCCAGTTGGTGTTGCGGTCGCTGTTGGTTGCTGGAACTTTGAAAGTGGTTGAATTAGCTGGTGACCTGTTTATCTGGTACACCTGGCTCTTTATTTCGATGTTCATCGTTGTCGTAGGAACATTGTACCCCTACTTGATTATGCCCTTGTTTTACAAGTCGAAACCTCTTAGTCCGGGAAAGCTAAAGGACTCCATTGATCGTTTGGCTCACAAGAATAAGTTCCCATTAACCAATGTTAATGTCATTGACGGTTCTAAAACTTCCTCGCATTCAAATGCATTCTTCACCGGCTTTCCATGGTCAAAGCACATCTTTCTTTACGACACCATGGTTGACAAGTTTGAGGTGGAAGAAACAACCGCAGTTTTGGCCCATGAAATTGGTCACTGGAAATTGAACCATGTACTGATATCAACGGTCTTTGAGCAATGTCAGCTTTTGCTTATTCTGTCAGCCTTTTCGCTTTTCTACAACAACCCTTATTTGTACTCCTCGTTCGGATTTGATTACACACCAGTTTATGTGAAATTCTTAATCTTCTGCTACATTCTCACACCCATGAACTGTGCTTTACAATTCATGTCTAATGTTTTGTCACGCAAGCATGAATATGAGGCTGACGCTTATGTGGTGAGTCTGGATTATGAGGAGCACCTTGTTGCTGCCTTGATTAAGCTTGATAAGGATAACGGAGGGGCGTTAGATTCTCATTGGTTATATTCGGCATACCATCGTTCACATCCCTTGTTAAACGAACGATTGCAGGCAATCAGACAGGTACCCAGAAAGAAGAAATGAAATAAGTATGTGAACCACTTCTGGTATAGCCATGGATATTATATATTTCTGGGATCTATGTTTCAAGTGTTGGAGTCAGCTGTGTGGTTATGTCACAATATCTCATTATATTTCAAACATGCAACCTGTAGTAAAGGTGCTATTTAACCAGACGGAAGTCGGTGTCCGTGATCTCTTTACCTCTGATAAGCGGACGCCCTGGTATCGTATCCGCCTCAGTATATAAGACCGCCGATTACCATTCTCTTGTGTATTATAGATGAAAAGTATTCTCTTTTAACCGGCTATCGGTATCCACTATTACCCACTAGATATGTTAGACAACCCGCGTACATACTCGTTTTATACAAGACTCGGTATTTGCTTAAAACGAGCTATACTTGTATTACATTCCGCTAGTACAAGAGTCTGGGAGCTTGGGGTGAGTAATACAAGGGGATATCAAATGTATTATACTCTATCAGAATCTCCTTCCAGTCAGAAATCGGTTTCTTATATAAAATATTGGAGTCAACGCTTACGTTCCTATCTGCTTAGCGCAACACATGCATTTTCATCTGCTCAGGTCTAAATTTACGACTTTCATATTGCACTAAATGCTTATCTTGATAGTACTGCCACAAATATTACCCACACCCACGGTACTAGATTAAAAACCGAAGCAGTACCAGATGCTATACGAGACTGCGAAACATGAGTGTTTGTCTGATTATCTTATCTCCACAATCTCAGAATAAGTAGAATATTCACAATTGCACATTGTAGTAACCGTTCACCCACGCTTTGATCGTAAAGGAATTGTGCTACATTGTAATATAGATAGTTCTTGTAGTAAGCGTGTAGCTGTCACGTGATGGGGATCAATGCTCTATATAAGGAGGTCGATCCCTCCCTCCTTTATCTTATATACATTATATAAGCAACCAGTATACTATTACTATAAGTAGATATTCTACCCTTGAGGTAGAGATATACCACAGTTCTAAACGTCCAACCTTTGACAAAGTTGTGTAGTGAACTGCGTAGAGTAAAACTGGTGTGCGCTTGGGGGGACCAGGGTAGCATTTTAGTGAATCCTGTGGTCCTAAGGGTCATGTACTAGGGACGAATTTTCGAATCACAGAATCCTCGTTCCAGCAACGTATAAAGCGACTAAATTGCGCAACTATGAGGTGGAAAATCAGTGGTATCGCATAGAATTTTATGGATCGATCTGAATTTTACAAAATTTTATATTGTATACTAAAATCTATTACTAGTACTCAGTGGAACTCCCTGCAGTATTAAATTGCACATGCTCTGACTGCACCCTGTAAACCCTCGTTTTGCCACAACACAGCCAATTTCCAAAATACGAAAATATCCTGTACGAATGTTTAGGCTAAGTCGCATATCCGCTTTATTTCTCTAGAGGGGGTTTATCCATCTTCTGCTTTCAATGACCTTCAATACCTCTTGGTATATAAGTCATATATTTACTTGGGGCTAGAGCACCTAATTCTTGGCGTACTTTTTCCGGGAGTGGCTTGAAAAGCTTGAACGAGCAAACATGAGTTTCCAGCACTATGAGTCAAGGGATATGCAGTCGAATGCACTATACTGTATTGCTGTGGTCTGGTTCATGGTCATCGTCTACACCCTCTAGACCAAAAAAGCTGAGCGCCGTGGCGGTCACGCCTGACGTCAGGGATGTATAAGAGGGGTAAGAGGAGGTGTTTATGGTAGCAACATCGAACTAGTGAGAGGATGATACGATAAATTTACAAGGCCTAAAATGAGGGGAGGCGTTCTATCTCTGAGCCGGCCGTCCAGCTGGCGCAATTCTTAGTCGGACAAGTGCGGGGATACGCACAATTACACTAAACATGTGCAATCGCATAGAAAGGTTCGTAAATTGGAACCCGTTCGTGAGTAAGGACGAGATTATGCTATTTAAGGAGTCAAATCCTCTTTATTTGCTTTCAGGGTTTAGAAGTTTCTCCTTCACCCGTCCATTCCCCTAACTCACTCCACAAATCCAATTCACTACGTGAATTCACAAACCACTTTGATGCCATCTTCAGTCATCTCTCCAAGTGTTCGCCGCTCCAGTTGCCTCTGATTCGCTTGTCGATGAATGTCCGATTCATCAATATGGTTTAAATATTGACTGAATATTATCGATTTAGATGAATTCAAAAATGAGAAATAGGGAGAAGCGTTACCATCTGTCAGGATTCAGCCATGTTCAAACCTTCAGACCCCTGCTAGCTCCAAGATTTCATCCTCCATTTGAATGAATCTCGGTGCCACTCTGGTTGAAGCTAGTGGACTAACAATACAACTTGCTATTTTTTGTTTTACTTACTCTATCTTAATATAATCTGGTCAACTAATCATAAACTAGACTTAGGTAGTCGCCAGTGGACGTCTAATACCTGTGAATTCTCGCGGTTGGACTGCTCGAGTGATGGTGGCACGACTCGTTTTCCTGGGCGTGGACTGCCTTTGGCCTCGAGATTTCAGCTGCAATAGGGGCCATGAGATGTCTTAGCTGATTGTAAAAGTAGTCTGACTAACTGAAAGTTTTATTGTCAAGTGCATACTTAATGACTAGTTTTATGAATACGAACTATCTATTAAAGATAATTTGATTTCATAGTATGCGAACGTGTGGTCCAATTAACGAACTCGTTTCCGCTTTATATTAGCACATGCTTGGCGCGGTACTAACGCTAACCTCTGCACTTATTCAACTACATAACTGCGTCGACTAAAACTATTGGTCTAGTGATATCATGCATCGTCTCATTCTAAGCCGCATGAACATATAACATCACTCCTTCACTAACCTGAAGCTGTTTGACAAACACCTCTTGCCTCGCATATCTCCGAGACCTCTGGCGCAGTGCTCTGAACCTTCCGAGATGCTATGAAGCGTACCCCTAACAAATAGTTCGGGAATTATGAATCATACACGTCGAGAGTACAAATTCGTGGTTCGTGGCGACGAGCCGATTTTAGCCATGAGACAAATTCAAAGTGACAAGCAACCCAGGACGGAAATTAAAGAGCTCAATTCTTTCCTTTATATCCTTTTACACATACTATAACTCGTTTATTATGGTCATCAATATAAAGCTAGTCGAAACCCGGTATGGACAAAGCTTCTGTGATGCGTTTTATAACTTCGTACTATGTAGGGAGTCTATTGAAAAAGGAAGCAGACGAAGCTCGGCTAGTCTGGTTTAGAGAATGTAGGTGATGGACCATCAACCAGACCACAAAAGTACCGTATAGTGTTTTTGACTACACATCCCTTGACCCGTGATACTGGAAATTGCTTCGCTTATTTAAGCACTCCAAGCCACCTCCAGAAAAAGGTACGCCATGAGTTAGATGCTATAGCTTCAGGTAAATATATTACATATGTACTGAGGGGTACTGGGATTACTAAAAGCAAAAGGCAAATAATCTCGCTCTAGAGAAAAGTAGACATGCTACTTAGCCTAAACATTCGTGCAGAATATTTTCGTGCTTAGAAAATTTGGCCATGCCATTATAGGTTTAACAGGGTGCTTCTTGAGCATATGTTGCTGATACAGTAAGGAGTACTACCGGGTATTAATACCAGATTTTAGTGTGTGATATGAAATTTTGTTGGATTCTGATTGATCCGTGAGAGGCCGTGTGATGCAACCATCGGTTTTCCAACACGTAGGTGCACACTTTAGTCGGTTATGGCGTCGCTGGAACGAAGGTTTAGTTATTTTAACTTCTATTCGTGTTGGTGCATAATAACAGTTCACTGGCATGTTACCCTGGTCCACATTAAACACGCCAGTTTCACTATAGCGGTCCATCTCCTGACTATCTCTAAGATTGTATATTTTGAAGAATTTGTTACAATATTGCGAGAGCTCCTCGACTAAAATGTGAGTAAAGCGGTCATTACAGCGTGCAACCGAATTATTTACTAATACGGTAATTACAGGGTACAATAACCGGATGTGCACGTATGCCTCGTTAGCCCCACAGCCCTGTTACCGAAAACTAATCAATTTTTAAACTGAGATGCAGGGAAATGGTCTGATTCCTGACAGGGATGGCTCCTGATACATATACAGGGCACATAGAGAATATTCTCGTATAGCATCTGAAACCTGTGCCTCAGTTTCTAGTTTGGTGTTGTGCAGACCAACTTCGGCCGCGTTTCAAATCAGGAAGATTGCCCGATTGTGAAGCTTATCCCTTTTTATATACAAGAGCAGATTGCTACCTTACATATTTCTTGTTCTAGCCATTAAATGGCTTTTATTTTGGAGATTCTAAGCGTATTTCTTGAATTTCTCTTGGTTGATAGTGACTGGTAAACCACGGAACCAATCTAGTTATAGCAACCGGCCCTCATGAACCAGACATTTGACTGTGGCAACGGGAATTTTTCAATTGACAATATTGGCAGCAACATATCTGCATCGGAGATCAATTTGATATACCAGTGTGGCATTAGCCTTGGCAAAGTGTCCAAGCTGGCTGGGGTTAAGACTAACTTAGCAACTTGGGCACTATGGCTCATCCTACTCATTGACCTAGTCACTGTCGTCGTGCCTGGTTTCTAGAACGATGTCGGATTTAACCAGACAGCGTACCAACAGTTATTCGTTTCGACAACGGTCTACGTAATCAGCGCTACTAACAACATCACAATCTCCATCAATACGGCATATATTAATGTATCAACGAATCATAAAATCCAAGATCGGAAATATAAACAAGTGTAATATGTGTATAAAGTTAGGTTTAGGCGTATCACATATAGTATGGTATATTTAGTAGATAATAGGAGATACATTCGTTTATAAGATATATCCAGGAGGAATAGATGGCCTTATACGCTGAGAAATATATGATATTGAAATTTTTGATCTAAGATAGGAACATCAGCTAATGACATCTGTCTGGTTAAATGTCACTTTTAATACAAGCATGATGGCTTAGAGATTGAGAATCAAACACCCTGGAGGTCCGGAATCTAGAACTCAACAAACTCTATCCTTTACTCCTTTATATATTATACATGTCTCTTTTTGTGGCCTTTGATATACAATTGTCAGCTAAAGGCTAGGGCTCTTGGCGATTCATAAAGTTTCTCGATTCGCGAAAATGGTTGAGAAATTTATTGACGCGTAAATTTTCCACGCGCTGGCAAATCAATCTTTCTACACCCACATCTTCTATTTCCAGCCAAATACCTACCAATATGCCATCCACAGGATCCCACCGAGGCCAGCTTATCCTTGTTGAGGGGCTTGACAGATGCGGAAAAACCACGCAGACTACACGGCTTGTAGAAAAGCTAGCCTCGCAGGGCCACAAGGTGGAACTCGTGAAGTTCCCCGACCGATCCACCCCGATCGGGAAATTGATCAACACATACCTATGCGATAAAGCATTCCAGTTGAGTGACGAAGCGGCGCATTTGCTCTTCAGTGCCAACCGATGGGAGCTAGCCGCCACCATCACCGAAACATTGAACCAGGGCACGTTTGTAGTCTTGGACAGATACGTCTACTCAGGAATTGCCTATTCCGCGGCCAAGGGGTTGGATTTCGACTGGTGTGCTTCCCCTGATAAAGGATTACCTCAACCCGACTTGGTTATTTTCCTTACCATGAGCACGGAGAAGTTGAACCAGAGGAGTGGGTTTGGAGGAGAACGCTACGAGATCAGCGAGTTTCAGGGCTTGGTGAAGGAGAAATTTGACAAGTTTGCCGCGATGGAGTCCATGCGGAGCATCTGGAATGTCGTGAACGTGGAAGGGAAGAGCATCGAGCAGGTGGGGAACGATGTGTGGGGGTTGGTGGAAGGGTTGCTCCAAGGGACATCCCAGCCAATCCACAAGTTTTTGGCGTAAAACTATATGACGTCGTTTTAATTTTAGAATGAAGATACGAAAAGACGAAGCATTAATTGTCTGTTTAGAGAAACCTGATGTGGGCCCTGGGATGGAGCAGTGCAGAAATCCCAAGTGTAAACCTATGCAGGTATGAAACATACTCATATTACCCCTTCTCAACTCGGAAATCTACTAAAGTCATGAGTTGAGCCATTTTGCACCGGTTTCACGTAACACCGGAAACTGTTTTATGCATCGTAACATTCGTCAAAGCAGGCCTATCGGATTGAGACAGGCTCGCACGCAAAGTTTCTCTGAAAACACTGAAGCATGCCATTTAAAATGGCATTGCCGGCCAGGGTTAATCAAGCTTGTCCAAATACGCCAACCGCTGCAAGACCTTGTCTCTGGAAGTCTCCTGGATCTCGCCGGCAAGGTACAACTCATCGAGAATGGCATACACCTTGTAGAAGTTAAACACAAGGTCGAGCTCGCACACGTTCTCAAAGTAGAGGTCGAGAATCTCCACCATAAAGTGCAACAGCTCCAAGTACGCGAGCTCGCTGTCGTGGATAGCAATCGATACAATAAAAAATAACCCAGCATACCGCCTGTACACGAGCTTGTTGCCCTGGAACTCCACAAAGTTAGACTGGTGTTTAGTGTCGCGTGTAGAGATGAGCTTGTGGACCTGGCCTGTGATGAGAGACTTTTCCTTGTTCTCGAGAGGTTAGCATTGGTTGTCGTGAGGTAGCAGGGTACGTACGGAATACAGATCATACCATTTAGCAAGCCGCGTCCGGCCCTGTCTATTCATCACAATGATGAATTGGATCGTCATTTTGTGCGTTAGAGTGGGATTATGTAGGGTTATAAATAGAGATCGATTTTGATTTGAAGAACCAGCGTGGAAAGCTCGGTGCGTGACCTGTATGTAGCGAGCCACCAGATGAGATGTTTGGGAACCCAGAACTGTACAATGAAATCGTTACAATATAGAAGCAAGCTTTGAGATTTAATCTAGAGCAATTTTGCCCATTCGAAACTAGAATTTCTAATAAAGTCTTTGGACAAGAACCCCTTCCAATGAGCAAATCAAAGTTTGTTCACAGGCCCTCCTGTAGTCTCGCTCGTGAACCCCGCGCCACGTGACTCCAGCAACATTTTTGAAAGTCTTGCAGCGGCCCATTTCCCCACTTTTCATTACTTCTTTTCTTCCACTCTATACATTCACTCCCTCATCTAACAAGCTATAATGGATAACCAGGCAGTGACGGTGGTTTACAAACCGTTGCGATCAAACTTGATCAACCTCCCGTCGCACCTTGCGAATTTGCTCTATTCGGCCAACATCAGCATTCAGGAAGTAGTGGCGGAGTTGACGTTCAAACCCAAGCCGAATTTGCCATTGGAGTATGCGTACGCAGGCTGGACCGGAATGGCAACTACGAGCACGCAGAGCGCGACGATTGAAATCGACTCCGCATTTGCACAGTCCCTTGGGCTCGCGAACGCTGCGCGCGCAACGCTCAGCCTCAAGCTCAAGCACGCCGAGGCCACCACCATCCACTTAGAACCCGTTTCCTCTTCTGATTGGGAGGTTGTCGAGCTCCATGCGCAGCTTCTCGAAGACAAGTTGCTTTCCCAGAGCCGCTGTGTAAAGCTCGGTCAGGTTTTGGTGGTGTACCCGACTACGGGCACCACCGCGCTGTTGGTAGTGACAAAGATAGAACCCGCGGCGGAGACGTACGCGAAAATTTCACCAAACTGCGAGGTTATGGTTGCGCCCAAGGTGAAACAAAAGAAAAAGAGGACCGTAAAGGAGCGCGCGCGCGCGGAGCCATTGCCGAGCGTGCTTCTCCGCGGCATCGCCTTACCCCACGCGCTCTTTCCGGACTCCACAGCCCACCCCGGCTTTGAGGTATTTGTGGACTTTGACAGCGTCGCACACCGTTTGGGCGGCGCGGAGTATGTCACCGTCGCGACCCTCCCCGGGCCGAAACCCGTTGAGAAAGAGCCGAGATCCGAGCCAGAGACTCCCGCGCCCGGCGAACTCACCGAGGCTAAGCGCGTCGTTGCCAAGCTCGTACACTACTCCGACACACCTGAGGGCCACGTGGGGTTGTCTGAGACCCTAGCCGTTGCGCTAGCGGCGGAAGCGTCTATTGGAAACATCGTGGTATTACAAAAGGCGGCGCCGCCGATAAAGCTCCCAACGTTGGTTTTCCACCCGTACGCAACCAAATCGCCGGCCCTGACGCTCTCCCTCAACTCCACAGATAAACAGAAGGAGGAGATGAGGGCGGAAAAGACACGCAAGGTAGAGGCAATCAAGGCACAGGTTTCCGGGTGGGGGGTAACGCCTGTGACAAATTTCACGCGTGTCGCGCCACTGGAGGAGTTGCTGCTTGGCGGTTTGCTTGAATTCAAGCGTTGCGGCGAGGGCTGGGCGCCGTCAGGGGAGACCAAGGTGGACATCGGCGAGGACCTCATCCGCGGCGAGTCCTTTGTCGTGCGTATCAGAGCCGAGGAGCACGACGACACGGTTGGGATGGCGCCGCTCATTGAAAAGATACAGACGACTGTAATGCGCGGCAATGTCGGCGCGTTGGTGTACGGCGCATCCGGCAGCGGTAAGACGGCTGTTGTGCGTGACGTGGCCGCGGGCTTGCGCGCGCGCGGTGTTTTTACACGCACCGTGCTCTGCGATACGCTCGCGAACGAGAGTTTCAACGCCGCCAAGACTGCGCTCACGGCGTGGGTTACGGAGGCCAGCTGGTACGCGCCACTGTGTCTTGTGCTCGAGAACGTGGAGAACATTCTTCCGGCAGAGCTCGAGCATGCGGACGGCACGCAATCGAACCAGCTAGCGGAGTTTCTTGCGACACAGCTCTCGCGCGTCGGCCAGCTTCGCAATGTGAGCATTATCTGCACCACCAAGTCCAAGGAATCGGTTAACAAGCTTCTCTTCCAGTTGCACACGGTGGAGGAGACGTTCAATTTGAAAACCCCGGATAAGGAGTTGCGGCGGTTGGTACTAGAAGCACACATGGCGAAGCTTGGGATGGCGTTGAAGTTTGACATCATGGACGTTGTGGCGGAGACCGAGGGCTATCTTCCGAACGACTTGAAGATTCTTCTTGACAGGGTCTACCACGAGCTGTTATTCAACACTGAAGGAGCTAGTGTTTTGGTGACCCAGAAGGAGTTTGGTAAGACGATTGAGGGGTACACTCCGTCGAACCTCCGCGGCGTAAAGTTACAGAAGTCAACAATCAACTGGTCGGACATTGGCGGGCTAGAAGAGGCCAAAACCATTCTCTTGGAGACGTTGGAGTGGCCGACAAAGTATGCCCCCATCTTCCAGTCGTGTCCGTTGCGCTTGCGCTCGGGGATTCTCCTCTACGGATACCCCGGCTGTGGGAAAACGTTACTCGCGTCGGCAATCGCGGGTGCTTGTGGCCTCAACTTTATCTCCATTAAAGGGCCTGAGATCTTGAACAAGTACATCGGAGCGTCCGAACAGTCGGTGCGCGAGTTATTTGAACGTGCGTCGTCCGCAAAGCCGTGCATTCTCTTCTTTGACGAGTTTGACTCGATCGCGCCAAAGAGAGGTCACGACTCTACCGGGGTGACCGACAGAGTCGTCAATCAGATGTTGACCCAGATGGACGGTGCGGAGGGATTGGACGGGGTTTACGTGTTGGCGGCAACCTCCAGACCTGATTTGATCGACTCAGCCTTGTTGAGACCCGGCAGATTGGACAAGAGTGTGATCTGCGACATGCCATCGCGCCTGGACCGCTTGTCCATTTTGCAGTCCATCACACGCAAGATGGAGTTGATGGATGAGGTGGACTTGGACGAGGTGGCTGGACGGACCGCTGGCTATAGTGGTGCCGATTTACAGGGCTTGGGCTATAACGCATACCTCAAGGCCGTTCACCAGAAGCTTGAGAAGGATGAAAACGCATTGGTGGGGGTTCTGGAGGTGGATAAAAAGGCCCACGAGTTTTTCCAGATCAAACAAAACAAGGAGAAAATGCGCAACACTGACAGGGTCAAGGTGTTGCACAAGATTGAGCAGTTGTTTGACAATATGGAGCTTGAGGCGGGAGAAGGGACTGAAACCGAGGCCAAGACCCAGGAGGCGGTCAAGGTGTACATCAGCCGTCAGGACTTTTTGGACTCGTTAGAGGAGACAAAGCTGTCGATATCTGTGAGTGAAAAAACCAAGTTGCAGCGCATCTACAGCGAGTTTTTGTCGGGTAGGGACGGTAACATGCCTGACGGCTCCACTAGTAATGAGGTTGGTGGTAGAACCACCCTTATGTAGGATATAGAATCAGAATTTACGTCTAAAGGTAATCAGCAATGTATATTAAAGTTAGGAGCTGCAACGCTTTACGGGAAGGTGGCAATCAACACGTACGTTAGACAGGTTGATGGAGAGCACTCGATTAAATTGTAGCTGGTTTATTTCTCGACTCAAATTTGTGAGAACCTGATGAATTTCTGTGTCGACAAAACAAATCGATATGGCAATACCAAAGTACTTGTGGTTATAACGGTGGATATAAACCCTTGGGCCTTTCTACAAATCTATGGACATAAACGCTCTTGGCAAGAATTAGAAAAAAATATTAGTTAGGAGTGGTAAGGCGAGAAAGTCTCGATAAATGTACAGGGCAAGACACCTCGGTATACCGCGGAATCCCGCCGATTTCCAGGACAATGGATAGTTAGACAGATGAGATTTCAACGGCATGAAATGCAATCTCCAGGCCATGGAGATGGTGCAATGTCTAGGCCATTGAAATGGTGCAGTGTCTAGGCCATGGAAATGGTGCAGTCTCTGGCAGTGTTGGCCAAGACGTCGTCAAGGGCCCATCTCGGGGCCTCACCCTTCTTCTTAGCACCGCCAGCAATCCCGGAGGAGAACTTCAAGAACAACTTATCACCCACCTCACTCATTGCCTCGATGACACGATCCAAGTCCTCCTTGGTCAATGCAGCGGACACACAGAGTCTGACTCTCCCAGAGGTTAACGGGGTGGCGGGGTAGCCCACCACGACGACGGCAATTTTGTGCTCATACATCATACGGGAAAACGCGGGCATTTTGGCTGGAAGGAACAACAACACGGGAATGACAGGCGAATCGTCAGCCCCATACACGATGAAGCCCAAACGCTTCAAGGCCAATCTGAGATATCTAGAGTTGAAGGCGATTCTCTGCAATCTCTCGGTCCCCTCACCTGGGTTGACCTTCCCATCAATGATGTTAAGCGACGAGATGATCTGAGCCAAAACTGGCGGAGCGATAGACTCACCATACACGTTGGTGGCAATATCGAGTCTCAACCTGTCAATGACAGCAGTGTCAGCAGCGACGTACCCGCCGGTAGCCCCGAACGACTTGGTCACCGTCCCCATGAGCAAGTCAATCTTGTTTGGAGAGACACCAAAATAATCGCAAATCCCCTTCCCATTGGGCCCTAGGGCACCGATGGAGTGAGCTTCATCCACAAAGAGGAAGAACCGGTACTTTTCTCTCAACTCAACCAACTTTGGCAAGTTACAGAGGTTGCCCTCCATGGAGTACAAACCCTCGACTGCAACGATGATCTTCTTCCACGGACGGTGCGACTTTGGTTGGCCAGCGGAGATCTGCGCTCTCAACAAGGCCTCCAACGCTTCCATGTCATTGTGGGGAAAGACCTTGACGGAGGCGCCGGACATTCTGACCCCGAATCTGATCGACGCGTGGTTCAACTCGTCGGAGATGACCAAACATTTCGAGTTAACCAAGGAGGTAAAAAGGTTGGCGTTAGTGCCAAAGCCCATGGAGAACACCAACGCGCTCGGCTTCCCGACAAACTCCGCAATGACGCGTTCACATTCCACGTGAAGCGATGTCGTCCCGATCTGCTCCCGAGGGCCACAGGCAGACGTTCCGTACTGCTCAACCGACGCCAAAGCCGCGTCCGTACACGTCCCACTGCTCTGAGCAAATCCAAGATAGTTGTACGACGACAAGTTCAAACACTCCACCACGTCGCCGGTGTAGTGGTACGAGCCGTTGACGTTCACCTTATCGGTGATGCGCTCAAAACACTTGATGAAGCGGCCAGGCGCGCCACAGATCGGTCTGGCAAAACAGTCGTCCAAGCGCATCTTCAAGCGGCGCACATAAAAAGACTCAAACCCGGAGTACCACGGCGCAAGGCCGTTCTGGCCAGTGAGAGCCTTAAAGTCAGCCGGATAGAAGATCTGGCCAAAAAAATCGCGAATATGCCCGATAATGATAAGGATGAGGTAGTTGAGGTATGTGCAGATGAGAATGAAGTAGGGCGGCTCGTCCATTATTGGCTCAGGGAGCGGTTCGCTCGAGATGTGTTGCGACACGTAGAGGTGCTCCTTGGAGGTGAGGCGTCCGAATTCGCGCTCGGTTCGCTCAGCCGGCGTAAAATTGTCCGGCGGAGCGTTTGGGATCTTAGAGGCCTCGGATTTCATCGTAGTTGAATGTCAGTGTTCAAGATGGGATCCATGTGGAGGCTTTTGTACGTGTCTGTTTTTGATTTTATTAGAGCCTTTCGAGTACTTTTTCGGCGGAGAAGTGTGCAGGAGATGTAAAGATTTCCGTGCCGAAACACTCCGGTTGTGTCTCTGAGGTGATATGACGAGTAATGGAGGGTAAGTTAAATATGTTTATCCAACAAGTTTGTCCATGGTTCATATCGTAGTGCTATTTGGAGAACGGATGTACAGTGGAAATTGCAATGAGGGTGTATAACTTAAGGTTCGCTCTATGGCCCACGGCAATTGACTCCGACCGTGTAATGTCCCATCATCATTCACTTGAAATACAATATATGGTAAACCTTACCTTTATTGAAGTCTTGCTAGAGGTAAAGCTGGTTTTTTTTATCCACGAAGTCAGGTTAAGCCCGACCGATGGCTATTACATTAGCGATATTGGCAAGAGATATTTCTTTGGCAAGTACTCTTTGCTTTCAAAAAATAGTACTAATGGCGATACCAGAACACGCTAGGCGCCCCGATATAATACAAACCGTATTACATGTGTAGGCTACAAAGCGGAAGACAGTACTTCGAGTGCTGTCACTTTGTTATCAGTATTTTCAGAACCAACCAGTGACTCGTCATCAGTAATCATACTCCCCTCACCTTCGTCCTTTTTCTCAGGACCCAAAAACATGACAATCATAAGAAATGCGAAAACACAGCCCATGAAAATGGCCATCACCTTGGAATAGTCGTACACCCCTGGTCTTTGAACGCCGTTTGCGTCGTACAACGGGAACCGCTCGCCGATGGTAGCCTGGATCGTAGACGACCCAGAGGAGGCCAAGTTACCCAACTGATAAGACGTCCCCACAATGAGAGATCTCCATTTAGGGTCGGCTAAGGACGAAAGATGAACAGGAACGACACCCCACGCACCTGAAATGCAAAACTGTAAGAAAAACACACCAGCGTTGATACCAGAATCCCTCGCATAAGCCCACGGATAGATCACTGTACCACCCAAGACACACGCGATCAATACTGTGAGGCGGCGACCAATAAAGGTGGAAGCATGTCCGAAAAATACCCCCCCCGGCTATCGCTCCGAGGTTGGCTACGGAATTGGTCACCGTGGAACGATCATTACCGTAACCAAGCTGTTTGGTCAACAACGTGGGATACAAATCCTGGGATCCGTGGGAACCGAAGTTGAACGCTGCTAACAACACCACCAAGTAAATAAACATCAACCAGTGGTTTTTGAACGTTTCCTTTGCATACCTGAAAGCTATAGATCCTTCCACGCCCTCGTTGGCCTCAATTTCCTTCTTTTTGAGAAAGTCGTCAGTCTGAGGTAACCAGAATCTCCAAGCAATGAATAAAACGGGGGGACCGGCACTGAACCAAAACAAGGCTCTCCATCCATAGGGAGAATTCACGGCAATCGCTCTTTGGAACAATACAGCAACGAGATATCCAAACATGTACGCTTCCTGGAACATACCAGAGACGATACCTTTGGCGGCAGCAGGGCAGTCATCAAGGGCACAGCTGGCTGCATTTCCGTAAACACCACCCATTGCAACACCAAAAATAGCCCGAACACCCAAAAACTGTTTGTATGTCGTTACAAACCCAGACCCAATCTGGATAATGCTCAAAAGTGCCATGCATGCGATCAAAGGGTACTTGTTACCCTTTCTATCGCCCCAGATACCAAAGCCAATAGCCCCTACCGATCTAACCATAAGCACGAGGGTAAGACCCCAGGTAACGTCTTTCACAGAAACCTCCAAATCCTTAGCGATAGTACTAGCGTTTAAGGAGACGATAAAAAAGTCAACAGAGTCCCATGTCCAGGTACAGATGGCCACGCCGATAAAGGCCCAGTTTCTTTTTGTAAGCTGGCTTAAAGGACCGAACGGGTTGATATTCAGTCTATTAACACGCATCTGCTCGCGAGAAGGAAGTAAGGTGGTGAACCGTGTTTTGAGATAGTACCTGACCGTGGCGAGGTCAAGCTTGGGCGGCAGGCCTGCCTGCTGTTTAAATTCTTCCGATGCCATTTGTACGATAAATCAAACACTCAGTTACGGGGAAAGCATTCCATACTTATACAATACTATTTTTTTTTCTTCTAACACGGCCGCTGTGAGCGCATTGCTACGGCTCCCTCTTATGTATGAAACATTTATTTCCGACTGCATGGATAAACCACCTTTCAGCCACAGTGGGCCCTGGATGCATGGACCAGCTTGGCATGCACGGTGCTCCTCACGGACCGACAACAGTCCGGCCTGTCATGTTTAAGCCACGGTTAAAACTAGCAGAGGTTACATTTCGGGAAAGCAACCTGTTGCTGAAGTGTCTGGATTTTCGGAATATTTATTTTTCGAGATTTGGCAGTACCAAGCCATCCTCATTGTGTCTGCCGCAATGTAAATTCATACTTGATGGTGCCTTCTATATCTCCCAGTATTGGGGATGCAGTCTTCCGTCCTAACGGAACGCTATCTTAGTTGCGCTTTAGCACGTGAAATGAAGTATTTGTACCGAAAATAATTGTGGCCTGTGATGAACGAGACATCCGGCAACAGACACTTGCCAAGACTTTGTAAAGTACAAAGGCTTGGAGTCAAGCCACATATTTTGCCCACGCAATTGCTTATGTCTCCCTTGTGTCTCAGATGTCCATCTTCTCTGCCGTTCCCCGTATCATTGCTTAACTCTAACTCTATGTTAGCCGTGTGACAGTCCTATCCGCCTAACCGTCCCTGGGGGGCCTTTTTCAGTTTGACATAGTGTAATGCCAAAGTATACTTGGGTTGACCGAATTACATGACCCCTGGCCTCTGTATGCGCAAGCACGCAGGACATGCCTGCTTCTATCTTCCAAAAAGGCTAAAGATTAGATGCACATTTTGTTAGAAATATGAATGTATGGTCTGTTCAAGCAGTAGAATGTCATCACCGATAGTGACGGCTTGGGTCATTGCTTATTTTCCTGGTATTCTACATTCGAAAGGATCTCCATTCATAGAGCCTGCCCTCGTCCCCATTGGAAAGCTATTGTGGATTATAAAAATGGGAGAACCCAAGTACACGAAATGAAATAAAAATACAAATATGCGGATGCAGAGCACCAGAAAAGGCACAATAGTTGCTTAGAACTTCTTTCTGGACTGCTGCTGTCTTGGCTTGGAGATGCCACCCTTGCCCATGACCTTAGCTCTTGGCTTGGCCGGAGCCTCGTCGTCACTAAAGTCATCATCACCCTTGCTCTTCTTGAACTTGAGCTTACCCTTCTGGCCTCTTACCGGGCCACTCTTGATAGCATCAATATAGGCGGAGATACTGTCCTTGTTCAACAACGGATCGTCATCAGTCTTTCCATCCTCTCTAAACACAAGCTTGCCGTTCTTGTCAAACTTGGACTTGGCAGCAGGCTCTCTCTTGGAAAATTTCTTTGGCTTGGAGGAAGAGATGTGAGCCAAAGCTTGGCGATCCAACAAGTTAAGAGGTTCATCGGATTCCAAGATAAACTGGTTGGCCTTGCCCTTCTTACCCTTTGGAGCGTCCTCGGCTTCGGACTCGTCGGAATCAGAGTCGTATAAGGCTTCTTCGTATGCAGACGCAAACTTCTTCTTCTCCTTCTTCTCTTCGTTCTCGCCCTCCTCCTTCTGTCTCTTAGATCTCTCTCTGGTCTTTCTGATGTTGGTCAACAACTTGTAGTCGTCTTCCGGCATGTTTCTCTCCACAAACTCCATGCCAAATCTTCTGATCAATCTCTCGATAATGTGCTTGATCTTGGAGTTGAACGCACGCTGGTGGGTGTTGGAAGCCTTCAACAACTTCTCCAACACGGTCTTACACCTGGAGCGCAAGATCTCTTCTGGAAGGGACAAAACCTCGTTCTTGACGAAACCGATGGCAGCCTTGGCAATGTCTCTGCTCTCAGCGAGCAAACAGAAATCCTCCACCATCACACAGATGTCGACCAAGGTGTCGTTATTAATCTGGCCCTTGAACTTGTAGATGATGAGACCCAACGCGGTGATGGTTCTCTTTTTGGTGACACTCTCACCGGCCAAACCGGCAACGACCATGACCATGAACTCCTTCAACGAGGCCTCAGTGTTTGGGGTGCCCGCTTCCATCCCCGGAAGCTTGCTGTTCTCGATGACACCACCGGCAATCATCTTTTCCGCCATCAAGATCAAGGTCTCAAAGGCGACTTCTCTGGTCTTGGAGTTGGCATCATTGATGGAGAAGATGATTTTTGGCAAGATTGCGGGAATAAACACCAAGTCGGAAGCCGGAAGGAGCTCGATCATGGTGAAGATGGCCCTCAATCTGGCAACCCTGGCGGAGTCGACAGTCTCTGGCGCCTGAACCAACACGTTCTGGATCTCGGCGCCGAACTGGAGCAAGGACTGCTTTCCGGCGTCTGTCTCGTTCAAGTTGGAGATGATTCTATAGGTTCTCTTCTGCATCAAGTTGTCAGAGTTGGACACGGTGGAGGAGAAGATACTGAACAAGGCGTTGTGGCAAGAGGCCGGCACGTACTTGGCCATGGCCACCACCAAGTCCATCATGGTAAGAGACAAGGCAATGTCGCCCTTGGCGGTCGGGGTGGTTGCCTCCTGGTCCAACGCGTTCTTCAATAAGCCACAGACCTTGTTGAAGGTGGCTTCCAAGTCAGCAGCGGGAATGATCTGCAAGTAGGAGTCGATAGTCTCGGAGATGAACCCTCTGGACTCTGGGACGGTCTGGGAGTAGACATTGAACAACACGGACAAGATGTTGTTAGCCTTGGTGGAGAGGTACTCAACATTGGCTTTGGCCACGACTTCGGGGAACTGCTGCTGCAACAAAATGTCGTCGGCAAGAGCACCGGAGGCGTAGGTCAAGTTGGAGTCAACCATCATCTTGAGGGCATAGCAGATGGAGGATCTCAAGGCCACGTTGGCGTACAAGAGAGACCCCAAGTTTTGCAAGAAGCTGTCAGTGACAGAAGCAACCAAGTCGGTCGGCAAGTCGCAGAAGTGTGGCAACAAGGACCAGATCTGGTCGACAATGGTCTGGAAGATCTTGACGTGGACGGAGTTTGGCTCCAAGGTGGCAACCTTCTCCTCGAACTGTCTGATGAGCGGGATGAAAGTACCCTTGAAGAAGCCCAAGCGGGCGTTGCGGATATTGTCCCTCAACAATGGGAGCAACCACGCTCTACCCGGCTTATTTGGCTTCGGGTCGATCAAGTTCAACGGTAAGGAGGACAAGACAACCTCCGGGCCAAGCACAGAGATGGCGGAGGCAATGACAGCGTCGGCCTCGGTCTTCAACTGGAAGGACTGCTCGTTGGATCTCCACTCGCCGACAATGGCCACTGGCTTGATAAAGTCCGGGTTGGCTCTAAAGCGCAACTTTTGGAGAATGGCGCAGAGCACTTCCATGACCTCCTTGGCGCAGTGGGTGTACTTGACGGAGAGGAGCTCCACGAAGATGTCGGATAACTGGGAGATGACGTCGTCAACGGCTTCGTAGACCTCAGCGGTGACTTCGTTGTTCGACGCTGGCAAGAGCAATAGCTGGTCTGGGACACACTCGGTGACAAGGGCGATCATGCACTGAGAGGCAGAGACGTAGATGTCGGACATTTCCGAGCTCAAGAAGCCGGCTACAAGCTGAACAATCTCCGGCAACTTGCCAAAACAGCTCAAGGCGTCGAGCTTGGAGTAGGCCGCAAGCGCCTTGGCGACGACGGCAATCCACGAGGCGGCCAAGTGGGAGTCGTTGACAGGTGGCTTCAAGTCGAAAATGATGCTCAACACGCGCATGAACTTGTCGGCATCGATCTCAGAGGTCATGGAGTTGAAGAGACCCTCGAACGCGGAGAACGCGGCGGACACGAGGTACTGGTCTGGGGTCTTGGAGATTTCCAAAAGCACGTCACACAAGGGCTCGATCTCCTTGTTTGGCCAGTTGTTGGAGGAAGTGATGGCACTGATCAAGGCGAGGTTGTGGATCAACAGGGCGTTGATCTCCTTGTTGTCTCTCTTCTTCGAGGCCTGCTTGGCCTGGATCAACTCGACAATCTTGGTGAGGGCAAACTCGGCGCACAACTTGGAGGCCAAGTGCTCTAAGGAGGGGCCTGGAGGCGGGTTAGCCAACACTTTGTGGACAGCTTCCTGGGCACTCTTTCTGACCTTTGGGCGGGCGTCCAAGGACAACTCGAGCAACCCGAGCAACCCTCTCTGTGGGGTGACGCTGAGGTGGTGGTTGTTCCACGCGGTGAGGTCCTGCGCGATCAATAAGGTTTCCAAGGCACCGATGGTGGCTCTCATGATGGGAGCATCCACCTCCAGAGCGGTGATGACGGCACCCAACTTGGCCAAGATTTTGGCAAAGTTTTGTCTCAAAAGCGGCTTAGGAACATATTCGAAGACGATGTTTAACATGTAGGTTGCGGAGACAAGGAGGTCCTTGTTAACGATAACCTGTTTGTCGTTGATGGATTCGTCCAAGAGGGAGAGGAAGGAGATAAAGTAAGCGACAGGGGAGAGGGATTGCTTTTGCTCCTGGATGTTTTCTTCCACGGCGGTGAGGATCACAGCAATCTAAAGGTTAGTATTGAAATTGAGCGAAGCGCCAAAGTAGCAGTGCTGTAAGCGGGTTGAAAGTGCATTTGTTCACTAACCGGCCAAACCAATTCAAAAACTGCTGGTTTGGTTTTGGCAGTTGTTAGAATACTAAAAGGTTCAGGTAAATCATTCTAGCTCGGCCAAGTTCCCGGTTCGGCTTCACCGCTTTGCAATGCGCTAACGTTTAACATACCTGCTTCTGGTTCTCCAACTTGGAGTTGACCTGCAGTCTGATTCTGCCCATTTTTTCCTCAAAATCAACGGTATCAAAGGCCATGCCACCATCTGGATTATTATCAGCCATGTTCAATAAGTCCGTGGTATATAGTCCAAAGGTTGATAACTACTATAACCGATTTGTATAATGCAGAAAAAATATTTTCGTTTTGCAGCTGTGTGCAGGACACTCGATGCCGTTACCCGGCAATCACAAAAACTTGCAGCGTCTAAAAGCGTCGATATCAGCGTGAGCAAAGAGAGATTGGAAGGGTGAATAATAATACACCATGAAGGGCTCCGTGAGAATTAGACTTGCCAGATTCGGCAGAAAGAGAGCGCCGTTTTACAACATTGTCGTTGCAAACGCCAGATCTGGCAGAGACAACCAGCCGATCGAGGTGGTTGGGACCTACAACCCGATCCCCACCGAGGTCACCCCGGAACAGAGGGCCCAGGGCGTGATGCCGACCAAGGATATAAAGTTGGACTTTACCAGATCCAAGTACTGGATTGGTGTGGGCGCCCAGCCGACCCCGGTGGTTCAGAGATTGTTCAAGAAGGCGGGAATTTTGGACCCAATGTGGCCAGCGCCAGACCAGACCACCAAGGCCGACTCTCCAATCGTCCAAGCCGCCAAGGACAACTTGAAGTAGGGCAGGGGAAGGTGAGTTCATGTATATATAGCGGGTTTTAGAATTGAATTTTATCCTTTGAAAGGTGTAGGGTGGCTGTAGGAGGTATCGGCTATATGTATACTTTGACACTAGATGGAATAGGTTTGGTTATTACCGTGACACTTACCATCAATCACTCTTAGGCACATTCCCATATAACTCAACACTGTGTTGAAGCTTCTGCTGTCAATGACAATACTCTATCCCGACTCAGAGACTAATGTAGATATAATCAAGGAGAATTCTGTTCCTGGAGTATTATTGTAAGTGCGCCATATAAACTTATCCTCACAGGCCTATTGGTAGTATCGATACACACTGGAATATAGTTGGCACATGTCCCAACAAATCGCCTTTAATTTCCATTCTATTCTTAAGCAGTGTGTTTCCAGGAAATCTCCTTCCGTTACCGCTCTTAATACCCTTGAGCATTATCATTCCGTTAAACACTATTTAATCACTCAAAGCTCGTTCGCAATTAACATTTCAATTTTATATACGTCATCTCTAGATGGTCAACTTACTCATCTTTCTCTGGTGGCTGATCTTGGTAGCGACCCAGGTGGAGGTGTACATGTTACATCTATCGATTGACTCACCTGGCAATCTGACGGCCGCAGCCTCGCAGTGGAACCCATTCTTTTCGAACACGTCAATGTACCACGGATGGGTGGAGGCAGAACGCAACATTACACGCCCACCGTCAGCCAAGGCACGGTACAACAACTCCACCTCCTCTCTGGCATCCCACCCGTTGGTGTCGAACCAATCCATATGGTCCATGATCACGATGATGGTGAAAGAGCCAGCAGTGACGCGCGCAAGGACCTCGTTCAAGGTGTCAGTGTGCAATCTGATGGTCTCCAAGGGAGAGTTCTCCAGGGCGGACAACTTCTTGTAACCGGCATCGGTCAAGTAGTCCGGACAGTTGTCGCGAGCATAACGGGACATGAGACACAAGTAGTAGAAGTAGTTGTCGGTGGAGATCAACGAGCGAGTAACTATAGGATCCAAGGTGTCCACAATGTAGTCCAAGATGGAGCCGTTGATCATGTTGGCTTGGTTAGCAGGCACTCCGAGGGCCTTCCACAAAAAAACAGAATTGGCGACAATCAACTTTCCCACAATCGGAGAAAAGATTGCCGGCTTGACCTTGGTTTCCCACACTCGCTTCTGCTCCTCTATGGTGGTGCAATTACACAACTTTTCCACATCCTTGGTGATCCCCGCCTTGATAAAGATCCAGTTTGCGAGCTTTAACGCCCACCTGGTCGAGCCGGTGTCGTAGTACAAGCCGTGTCCATTGACGGCAAAGGTATCGGAGCCCTTGTCGGCCCAAAACTGCAAAGCGTTTGAGGAGAGGTACGGGGCCAACTTTTGCAACAAAACGTCGTGGAAGTCCGCGAGCTTGCCTTCACCAAAGATGCTCCAGATCTGGTCCTGCTTCAACCCCGATTTGAAACAAGCGAGCTTTAACTCGAGTAAGTGGTTCTGGGCCGGGTTCAAGTCCACTCCATGGATACGCCTTGGGGGTGACGGAAGGCAGGCGTAGTGTAACAAGTTGTCACCGGCGGAAGTAATCGCCAAGAGCGAGTCTTTGTTGTTGATGTTTAAAATTTTGTGGTCCTCGCGGGGGTCTTCCCAGGTGAAGGCGTAGATGTACTGGTTGTTGAACTGTGCAAACAACGGGTTCAATTCGTTGTAGAACACTCTCCAGACCTGCTTTTGGTAGTACATTGACGGGAACGGCAAGCCGCGGCTCAAGTTGTCCACGACCGCCTCGTGGCCCTTGGACACGGGGATATGGTGCTGGACAATCTCCGCTGGCAACAAATAGGGAGACTCGGTAACGTGGGCGTTGATCTTGTTGACCAAGTTTGCACACTTGAGCTTGTCGCAGCCGACCCACGTATAGTAAGGGATGTTGCCCAAGGTTGAGTTGACAGAGTTGATTGACTTGAGGGTTCCGAACTTGTACTCTAAGTAGTTGCGACGGGAAGAGTCCAAGTGGACGTTGTCAAACTCAAACCAGATACGCCAGAAATTGCGGGGGACCCAGCTGTTGTTGCGGCCCACCAACCCACCCAAGGTGTTGATCCGGCCAACGGAGGTGGAGGTGGATTGGACCCCGAAATCAGCAACGGTCACGACTCCATGGTTCTTGTTCAACAAGGGGATTACATGGTCGATGGCAGAGAAGTAGGTGGGAATCATAGAGAGAGAGTATGAGAAGGTGATGAAGTCAACGGAGTTTTCCGCAAGCCCGAGCTCAAGGTTGAAGGAAGAGGCATCGCCACAAACAACCTCCACTACCCCGTGCGACACTTGCAGGGCCAATCTGCTTCTGGCAACCTCACATAGTGACGGAGAGAGGTCCACAAGGTAGATCTTGGCAAAGTTTTGTTTGGTGGTTCTGAGGACGGAGTTCATGTACTCGATGTTCCAGCCGGTTCCGCCACCAACATCCACCCAAACAAGCTTTTTCTGGGTTGGGTGGGAGGATAAGAGGTGTGACATACCCAACTTCAAGGCGTTTTCACGGCCCTTGAGAAGCAACTTCCGGGTTTTGTCATAGACTCCGGCCTGCGACTTGTAGAAGTGCTCTAACTGTTCCTGTTGGTCCGGGGATTCGGTCCTGGTGAACGGCTTGATAAAGCAATTGTACGCGAAAATGGCCGCGGATTTGGCCGTTTGGTTGATGTAGCAGAAGGTTGAAAGAAGCACCACCGCGAGGAAGTAGCTAGACGCGGCGGTTACTGAAGACGGGAGGAAATACTCCGTGAGGTCGAGCGAGCTGATGATAGAGCTGACCATGTTGAAATGGCAAGGGTTTTGGATTATGGGGCTAAAGAAGTTAAGGTGTTTATTTACGGGGAGTCGGTGCTTATATAGATATGAGTATGGACTACCGTGAGACATAACTAGCGCGTTAATTGGCTTCCACGTGTAAATAAACCTTGGTGGACCACACTAAATTAAAGTCCGATATTGTTGAGTCGGTCTGAGCGCGTGAGACACGTAAAACACGGATCTGACCGTGTTGTTTAAAGAGCATGTGAATTAACCACGTGGGGGAAGTTATGGGGTGAGTAAATCTTGAGGGTGAGTAAATCTCGGTGGTTCGGAGAATCCGTTGGTTTAAGGTTCCAGGGCCGTAATCCTGAGCATTAATAACCGTATTTTCCCCGGTTAGATTGTCATGTGTAAGTCAATATATGTGTGCGGATTGAACCCAACGACGCTGGTATTGTTTTTTATCTAACGCTTAATTACAAATTGGAGACGGACTGATAGATGTCAAAAACTCCGATATTGTATCCTGCACATGCCACCCCACGTTTTCCGCCGTATCGTAGGCTCTCGGTGCGGCTATTTGCAGGAACACGTTTTACCAATTTCAAGGTTAGTGATAATGCAATTCCCAAGGGCCCCGCTGAGGGTTATAGGTTAAAATTTGTTGCAACAGGAGTTACGTATATGCCTATAACGTTTCCGAGGCGTTTTATACTCCTCGGTAAGTGGCAGGGATTTGAGAAACCTCGTTGTAAAGGCTACCTTTCGCATGAGTTAAGGAAAAGAGCACAGGCCCTGCCAGTTTATCACATTGGTGGTCTTACATGTGATGGGCTATTTTCCATCATAACAGCAGATCGCAATGTCCCTGGCTTTGGATTTCGACCGTTTTGTCCTAGTTTGGTAAGTTTTGGATAATCCTGCGCCATGCAAGCGCCAGGGGGTCTCAATGGAGATCGAGACATGTTCTTGTGATAGATCAGCAAAAAATACCAGTTTCGAGGTAGTCGTCAATAGCACAAATAAGCATGCAAGTCAGAACTCATCAGTGGAATACTTTCCGGTAAAATAACCTATAAAACACAGTACAAGTAGTTGGTTCAACTAGAAACTAGCCAATACCCATGACAATTCACGAACAAAATCATGAAAAACATTAAACTAAATAATCATTAAATTTCAAATATCAAATTCACTAAAGCCACGACGATCGCTTCTTTGTGGGCTTCTCCAACCGATTGAGCAAGTCTGCCTGTGCCGCCTCCAACGCAATGATCTTGTCCGTCGACAGACAAATCTTCTGCCCCAAGTACTCCAACCGTGCCGCGAACAGCTTGTTGTCTGAGACAGCACGTAGGCTCACCAACTCCTCCTCAAACCGCTTCACTTTGGCCGTCTCCATCGCAATCAACAGCGAAAGTGAGTCGTTCTCAAAGAACGAATAAACCCGCTCATTATTAACCAAACTGCAGAATGCCTCCGTGAACAACGGCTTTCCTGGCCTCACTTCCTGCACAATGCCCTGGTCCTTGATCAACATGACCAACTCGTCGCGCTCCAACTCGACAAGCGTGGCAGTGTCCTTGAAGAACGCAGACTTGTATATCTCATTGTATCCCACACTGGGCTTGGCGGCCAACATCTTGACCATCTCCCACGCCTGCGCCTGCGTGTACTTCGCGCTCAGCGATTTGATCATCTGTGTCACCTGCTCCGCCGTCTGGTGAACCATCTGGCTGAGCGCCACCTGGGGCTCCTCACCCGACACAATGCGTCTTACCAACGCCTGAAGGTCCAACATTCTACCCCCTAACGGCTTTACAGCCCGGCACAAATCGATCTGCGACAACTCGGAAAAGTCCTTGCCACTGTTCTTCAACTGGGTAAGCACATACGACTGTGCAGACTCCTCCAGTGCGTCTGAGAGCAAAAACGTCTTGAAGATCAGGTTTGGCAACGCTTCCGTGAGCACCTGCGTACTACCAACCTCGTCGGTGATGAAGATCACGTGTGCCACATTCATGTTGATGAGAGTGGCCGCAAACTCCGCAAGCTCGCGGTACACAAAGCTGTTTGTCTCGGACTTTGTGGCAAAACGATCGATAACAACCACCGGCTTGAGCTCAGGGTTGTCCGTGAGGTAGTCATCCTCCTTGATCAGCGTCTGCGCGACAACCACCCCGTTTTCATCCACTTCCGGTTCCAAGACCGCATTCAGGTTGTAGTCCCGAAGCGCAATGTTCCGGATCGTGGACGTCACGAGCGCAAACATGTTCTTTACCTGGGTTTCTTTGGACTCGGCCAACCCAGACTTCTGCCCCGTAAGTCCCTGGACTCCCAAATCGATGTACGTGGAGATCGAGTTGAGCCACGGGAAGATCGGATAGTACCCCAATTCGTGCGAAACATTGCGGATCAACTGCGTTTCGTTCCGCGACTTGATCATCATCTCACAGTCGAGGTACAAGACGTTATCCCTTGCTGCAAGCACGTGCTCCTTGATCAACAGGTGTTTACCACTGCCTCTAGGCCCCTGGATGATGAGGAACGTGTTCATGTTCTCCTCCATCCAGAGCTTGACCTGCTTGACGGTTTCATACCGTTCCGTCCACAAGACCCCACTCTCTTCGTTGCGATTCCCACACCGGGTGTAGAACAAGTGGGCCACGGATGAAACGCTGTCGTAGAACGTGTTGATGAACGAAATAAGAGGTTTCACGAACAGGTTATCCTTGTAGGTGGTGAGCAGGTATTTTTTGGTAATTTTGGATTCCACAAACAACTCACGAATCGGATCAAAAATCAACACGGCAAGCGTCGCAAGGAGCGCAATAATAATTGGGATTGCGATCTTGGTGTGTCCCAAGATCAAGTCCTTGATGATATTATCACGGACAACCGGAATGTACTTGATGTGGATGACCGTTTCGCCTAGTTTCAATCCAGTAGTACAGTTCTTGGCGGCCACAGCGGACCGCATTGAGCGGAACTTCACCTCCGCAAACCGCGGCAAATCTTTGATGGACGGCGACGGCGGGATGATGTCAGAGATCACCCCATACCGTCTCATAAGCAAATAGATCTCCTCTTCCGTCAAGTCTGGACCTTCGAACGACATCTTGAGCCGGTTGCTCGGAAACCGGCGCAAGTCCTCGATCCACGGCACCCCCTTAACCGGGTAGCAGCGGGGATGCGTAAGGTACCCAAGGATGCTGTTTGTTGCTTTGTCCTTTGTGTTTTTCTGGATAGCCTTGTTGAATTCGTCTATCTCCATGAACGGCGGCACTGCAAACTTCACAAATACCCCTCCGTCGCGTTTGATAGGTACAAACGATGTGATCTGCAACTTGCTCTTATCAAGTGGGCCATTTTCCGACGCTGAGAGGTCGAGCACGTTATCCTGGAGGGTTTTGTTGTTTTTCGAGAAAATCGTCGCATAAATGTCCTGCTTGAAGTCCACCTTGCTCTGGCGGAACGGAAGCACATGGTCAAAGTAGATCAAGCTCTCACGAGTGGATTTCTGGATCACTCCGGTTTCCTCCGCGTTGTCTTCGTTGGAGACTTCTTGCTCTTTAGTAAGAGATGTCTCCTGGGTTTGGGTGTCGAGGATGGTGTCGGAGGGTGGAGTGCTAATGTATCGGCGTGCTGAGCCGAAGCCAAGGCCGAGACCCAAAGGCCGCAACGGCCTCAATTGAGACGGTCTCCACCGAGATCTTAGTAGCAATTTCAACGTCATGGTATCAATCACAATGAAGCAGTAAGGGGGGTGTAGGTAATCGAGTAACGTGTTTTGTGAAAAGATCTTTATAAGGACAGCAAGTGGCAAACTCGCAAACCTATACCTAATTCGTGCGGCGCCCCTGTAATCCAAGAGTAATCACGTGACATATAGGGGAACTTTGTTTGGACCCCGAAGGGGATTGCAACCGTACATCTTTTTTAGCAAGAAAAAAAAAGACTTTGATATAGGTTCTTTGGTATAGAATATCATCGACTCGTTCGGTTGGGAGGGCTATCTTAGGTATGTGTTGCTAAATCATGGTTTTCTCGAGTTTTGTTAGACCTGTAGGTCTTGTGGTGTATCTGTACCTCGAGGGGAGAATCTCTACTTATAGTATACTGATTGGCTGTATAACTTGTATAGGATAAAGGAAGGAGGAATTGGCCTCATTATATAAGGTATCGATCCCTACTGCGTGACCGCTACACGCTTATTACAGGTCTGGTGTAATTTAACAGTCTATCGTGGGAGTATTCAAGGGGTTCTCCTATATATAGTGTAGAAAGGGTGGGGTATCGGAAGATCCCAGAATTAAGGAAATTGGTACTCTACAGGGGTTGTGTCTGTGTATAGAGGTAACAAGAAGGCACGAGTTGTAAGAAAGTGTATGTGGATGAATAGGTATATAGCTATGGGAGCACGTAGGAGGGAATATTACGAGTGAGAGTGGAAATAAAACGGGGATACACAAAATCCAGCGATGGAAACGGAGGAAAGGTTAAGCTGGTTTGCTAAAGACTATTGTGGGTCGTATGACCAGGCATAGCGTGAATTGGGAGCTAATTTTCTAGTCTCACGCGGATTAAAGCGTCTACATCATACTGGGACTGGTTGAGCACGCAAAAACGTTGGTTCAGGAAATAGTATATCGCTTTATAGGTATTCCGAATGGTGCATTTAACTTCCCAGGTATAGGCGGAGCTGGTGCAAAAAACGATAATGACCGCTAAGCGGTTCGAACGCTTGCCTCTTACGAGATCTGATCTTGAGTCAGACGCCTTAGACCACTCGGCCAAACGGCCATTATTTAAGGAAAAAGAGAGGAAATTTAGATGCACTTACCTAGTCATCTAACGGAGATTACGAGAGAGGTTTGGTGCACAAGTGTACTCACACAAGGGGTTGTAAATCATGGTAATTACGTGATTGCAAAGTAAGTCCTTTTCTATATAAGGGTAGATCGCTATGTTATATAGTTTTTTGTTCTAGCTAGAAAATGCCTTTATCTTGAAAACTCTAACTATATCATTTGAACCTTTCTCTCAGTTTACAGTGGCTAGTAAACCACGAAAATAAACTAAATAGCATGTGGTTCCCTCGTTTCAGCTTCGCCACACTTGCAATTGCACTTATTATGTGCCTACGGTCTACGCCGTACGTTCCTGGACGGGCCTCCATAACTTCAGTGGTAGCAGGAATGTCTTCGACCTTTGTCTTGCGCACATCTATTCGAAGTTAATAGTAGTCGGCATTGCCAACATCACTAATGTCATATACTCTAATGGTAACACTGGTTTATCCATTGAGTACAGCACTGCTGTTAAAGCGTGCATTGATTTATGCCGCCCCAGTATTTTTATCTAACACACGTTGATTGACGGAACCTACTATGTACCAGGCCGTGAAAGTCTCTAATAAGAAAATAGCCAACACTACCGTCGTTTCGAGTAGTGGTAGTTCAGCTATGAGTACCGCCCAGCTGAATGTGAAGAGACAGTGGGATAGTGGTTATGGTGATCAATGTTCCCTGGATACGGACGTCTCGAGTATTATGTACGTCTCCAACGTATTCTTACACCGGCAGACAACTTTCTGGACTATAGTGATGGGGAGGAAAAAATACCAGAATGATTTCGCCCAGGATCGAACTGGGGACGTACTGCGTGTTAAGCAGGTGCCATAACCAACTAGACCACGAAACCTATCCGATGGAAAAATTATCTAGTAGACTCTAACCATTAATGTATTTTTAGCACACTATGTATACATACGACATAGGTATTTGACAGGCTACAAAATCATTAATATATATTTGTCAACTATAATCGATTATTCTCTCGTAATATTGAAGGTTTTATAGCCTGTCAAATATCCAAGTTATATATGTATATATTTAATCTTATTATTTTAAAAAAATACACAAATAGCGCCATATATAGTAATATGTTGTATATGATATTCAGCGCGAAGCTAACACACTGATCAAATTATTTATTGAATATATATTCTACTAGATTTGCTTTGATCAAAAATTCTCCGCACCTGTAATGCGTGAATTAATTAAAGATCTGCATGTAAATTCACTACCTATTTTTCAGTAGGGGCTAGTTCCTTCTCAGCAACCTTCAACTTGGAAATATCCTTGATGATTTCGTCGATATCTGGCTCATCCTCAGTCTTAACTCTTTCTACTTCCTCCTTTTCTTCCTCCTTTTCTTCCTCCTTCTCCTCCTTCTCCTTCTCCCTCTCCTTCTCCTCCTTTTCCTCCTCCTTCGTACCTACCCCTTTATCAGTATTCTTCGCTTCATGACCCTCCTTTCCTTTCCTAATCAACTCCACCAACTCATCAGCCCACCCGCAGAGCTCGGCCAACTCGTCAGCAATCACATCACAAGCACGCAATGCGAGAATGTCCACCTTACGCGGCGAGGAGGCAAAGTCACCCACTCGCTCCTGGTTAACAAGCACCCTCTGTGTCCTTCTGGGAACAGCAGCAGGCAAACCGGCAAAGGGATAGACCGACAAGGATGTCCCTGCGACGATGATCAAGTCCGTCTTCTTGCAGTCTTGCTCCCACAAATCGTAGAACCGGTCAGGTAAGCCCTCGCCAAAAAACACGATGTCCGGCTTGACATAGCCCCCACACTGGCGACACACAGGAATCCCGTCAACCAGCTCGTCTTCCATGTCTAGCTTCAACAACTCCGTCGCGAGCTCCGCATCACAGTCGATACAATGGTTTGCAGCGAACGAGCCATGCGCCTCCACGATGTAATCGGCACCTACACCAGCTATCCGCTCCAAGGTGTCGATATTCTGGGTGTACACACGTCTCAACAACCGCTTCTCCTCAAACAACTTGATCAAGTAGTGGAACTTGGTGGGGAGGAACTTCCCGGGGTAGAGCTCGCCGGCCAACGTGTAGAACGCCTTAGGGGATTGCCTGAAATATTCAATGTCAAACACGGCTTCTGCATATGGCAAGTTCAACTTACTCAAATTGGCGTACAAGCCCGTGCCTGGGGACCGGAAGTCTGGGATCCCAGCGCCTGTGGAAATCCCAGCGCCCACCATAAACACAACTCTAGAGTAGGTACCATTTTTCAAGGCCTCAGCCAAAGTTTTGAGGTCAGACATATTTGGCCGACAATGTTGAGCTAAAGGGTTGGCAATACCTGGTTGCTCTAAATATTTGGATTTATGCCTTAGCACCACCGATCCGCGTGATTAGATGCATGCGGCTGACCAGGCTGATTATTCGACACCAACTCGCTTTCGTAGTTAATCGATATACCACCAAATATATATATATTTGGATGTATATCTGCAAAACTCAGAAGGAACTGTTGAAAACACCTTATATATAGAGGGTATGGCCAGTCTCCAGTATATGAAAAGAGGTATCCTTTTGCGTGGATGACGAGAACTGACGTCACGGAGAAATTCATTTGCCACTGTTTTTTTTTTCCACAGAGGGAAAAATATCTCCCCTTTTTGTTTTAAACGATCAATGAGAAACTACAGAATCAGTCACGACGGATGAGAAGACTAAAACAATAACCAGAGCAGCTCAATACCATATTCCAAGTTTAGCACCCTTTAGTCACGCGCACACTTCCACACCACGTGACCTTCCGGAAATTACACTTAAGAGCCGTTGTGCAAAAATACTCCCAATCTTCCATTTTCACCCGCCATCCACTATGAAAGTAAGCACATCCCCTCAATGGAACTTTAAACTCGATACTAACTCTCCAGCAACGAATTAGCGCCCTCGATCTTCAGATCATCACGTCGGAGCTCCGTAGTATCGTTGACTACCGCCTTCAGAACATCTACAATGTGGTAAACTCAAACCGCCACTACGTGTTCAAATTCTCCATACCGGACCTGAAAAAGAACTTGGTGGTGGACTGTGGCGCCAAGCTCCACCTCACGGACTTTGCACGCTCGACCGAACTGACGCCATCGAACTTTGTCACGAAGTTACGCAAACACTTGAAGACGAGACGCTTGTCGGGGTTGAGACAGGTCGGCAACGACCGGATTCTCGTCCTAGAGTTCAGTGACGGGCTCTTCTACTTGGTGTTTGAGTTCTTTTCCGCGGGGAACATCATCTTGTTGGACCACACACGCAAGATTTTGTCGTTACAGCGGTTGGTCGACGAGAAGGAGAATAACGGCCGCTACGCCGTTAACAGCTATTACACGATGTTTGGCGACGATTTGTTTGAGACCGAGTACACCTACGAGAAGAAGGTCTACACCGCGGAGGCAGTCCAGGCATGGATCGCCAGGGTCCCGGAGCAGCTCCAGGCGGAGCAACTCCAGGCGGAGCAGAGCCACTTCCACAAGAAGAAGAAGCAGTCCACCACTATGACGATTCAGAAGCTTGCGTTTGTCAACGCCGCTCACTTATCCTCCGACTTGATCAAGACGAATTTGCATGCCCAGGGGGTCAATCCGTCGCTGAACTGCACGGAAGCCGAATTGGAACCAGTCGTCCGGGCCTTGAACGATGCCGAGGCGGAGTATGTCCATCTCAGCGGTGAAACCGTGAAGGAACTTACCGGATTTATTGTTGCGGTGGAAAACCCGCTCTTCAATCCGGAGGCCGAGTCGAGCGTGAACACCAACGTCGATCTTGAGTATCTCTACGAGGAGTTCCATCCGTTCAGACCGTCAGTAAAGGATGCGAAGAAGAAGGTCCAGATCATCGAGGTTACGGGGTACAACAAAACTTTGGACAAGTTCTTCTCCACCATCGAGTCGTCCAAGTACTCGCTCAAGATTCAGCAGCAGGAGCAGCTCGCGGCCAAGCGTCTCCAGCAGGCGCGTTCGCAGAAGGACAACCAGGTCCAGGCACTTGTTTCTGTCCAGGAGAACAATATCCGCAAGGGTGAGGCCATCACGTATCACGCGGAGCAGGTTGAGGCGGCAATGGGCGCAGTTCAGGCGTTACTCGACCAACAGATGGACTGGAAACACATTGAGAAATTAATCAAGGTCGAGCAGCAGCGGGGAAATGCCGTGGCCAAGACGGTCAAGTCGCTAAACTTGCTAAAGAACAAGATCGAGTTGCGCTTACCGGATATGGACGAGCTTGAGTTCGAGTCCGACTCGTCATCCGAGTCCGACTCAGATGGTGAATCGAAGCCTAAAAAGGCCCAGCAAAAGCAAATCACCGTCACCGTTGACCTTGGGCTCTCTGCGTTTGCCAACGCGCGCACGTACTTCGATGCCAAGCGTACAGCCGAGGTGAAAAAGTCCAAGGTTGAAAAGTCTGCCACGCTTGCGCTCCGCTCCGCGGAGAGGAAGATCCAAATGGACTTGCGTAAGAATCTCAAGCAGGAAACGGACGTGTTGAAGGCGATTCGCACAAAGTACTGGTTTGAGAAGTTCTACTGGTTCGTCTCTAGCGAGGGGTATTTGGTGGTGGCTGGTCGCGACGCGATGCAGACCGACACTTTGCTCTCGCCGGAGAACTTTAACCCCGAGACGGATGTGTTTGTCACGTGCGACCTCGACAACTCACTCAAGGTGGTGGTCAAGAACCCGTACACCAACTACACCCTTGCCCCCAGCACGCTCATGCAAGCAGGGATGTTGGCCATTTCCACGTCGAAGGCGTGGGAGAACAAGATTTGCACTTCTGCGTGGTGGGCCAAGGGAACGGACGTGTCGAAGTATGACTTTGACGGTACGTTGTTGAAGCCTGGTATGGTCAACGTGACTGCTGAAAAGCGTTACCTTCAGCCATGTCTGTTGGTGATGGGCTTTGGATTCTTGTGGCTCGGGGATGCAGAGGCGACACAGAAGTACCGGGAGTTGAGATTGCAGCGGATGCAGGATGTTGGGTTAGAGCTTGTGCAAATGAAGAAGGAAAAGAAGGAAAGGAAGAAGTTTGTGAGGGAAGAGAAGAAAGAGGAAGAGAAGAAAAAGGAGGAGAAGAAAGAGGTAGAGAGCGAAGTGAAGACAGATGATGAGTCTATTACTGAATCGATTGCATCTATGGATATCAAATCCCTGCCGTTGAAGATGCCGAAGGTGGTGCGTGGGAAGAAGGCCAAGTTGAAGAAGATTGCGACAAAGTATGCTGACCAGGACGACGAGGAGAGACGGATGCGGATGCAGGTCTTGGGGGTCTTGAAGCAGGTGGAGCCAGAGAAGCAGGAGGATGTGCCAAAAGGCAATCCCAACCATAAGATTGACAATGAGGCGATGGTTAAGGTTCAAGAGACGCGCGCGAGACGCGAGCGCGAATGGGCCGCACGCACAAGCGCGAAGCAAGAGGGTGCTGACGCGAACGAGGCTCTCCTCTCCGACAATGAACTTTCTGACGACGAGCCACCAACGCATTACCTCGAGATTTTTGATTCGCTCATCGCCAAACCACAATCGCAGGATGTATTGATAGACGCGGTGCCAGTCTTTGCGCCGTGGCCCGCGTTACAGAAGTTAAAGTACAAGGTCAAGATCCAGCCGGGCGCTTTGAAGAAGGGCAAGACCGTCGCAGAGGTCGCCAACTTCTTCATGCAACGTGCGGTCGTTGCGTCTCCCGAGGATCGTGGCAAAGACTTGGACGTTGACTGGCCTGAGGAGCACGAGTTAATCAAGAGCATGAAGGATGTGGATTTGATCTTGCCTATTAGCTGTGCTGGGAAGATGAAGATTGTCGCTTCGGGTGGGAATACCGGGGGTAATGGAAATATTGCCGGGTCCTACGGCACCAAGGAGGCCAAAAATAAGAAGAGCAAGAAAAAGTAGAGTCTATTGATAATGGCGATGTGTGAATCTGAGGATTCAGATGTTTGACAGCAGGGAAGTGTATATTTAATAAAAGCTGCGTGAAGATGCAGGTGGTGTAGAGGCATAAACATGTAGTATGTAAATACGATCAGAGAGACTACAATATGTTTACTGGGATGGGTTTGAACGATAGGTTTTAGAGACAGACTGGTTTTAAGTTCGTGAGAGCTGTGAGGGCCTAAAGCGCTCGGTCTATGTAGACTGGATAATATACTGGGTATATTTATCATTGTATGGTTTGAGATATTGAGTGTCTAAATTGAAAATTATGAACTGAAGTTAAACTATGATGGGGCTTACACTTATTCGTGGGATTGGGCTCTTTTGTTTCAGTCTGGGGTCGCTTCCAATAGGCGGTCTATTTAAAAACATTCGCTTACATATCAGTTTTTCATGCCGTCACAAGACATAGCATCTTGTGCATGTCAGCAACCCCCTAGATCCTAGATCCTGGTTATCCGCCCCACCCCTATCCTTATGGTTTAGGAAAAACCGGGCCGGTTGCACCGAGACGAAGGAACGGGTGAATACGCAGCATGCATATACAAGCATTTTGTCGGCGGCATTATCCATGTAAGCCACTGAGAGAATATGCATGCACAGCTCCCCCTGCGGCTGGAAGGATTTTCAAGTAATTTCCGCCAATCAGCTATCGTGTAATAGTCAGCACCGGCTGCTCAATGTCACTCAGGGATGTGCTTCAGCCGTCACACTAGGAAATACGAAGCGGAAACAACTCAGCACAGTGTAGCTAACGGCAGAGATTCCATGAGTGCATGCTACTATGCGTAAACAAAATCCACAAGAACCGTAAGCCAACTAGTTCTGTCGTAAAAATAGCGAGAAACGGGAGACCGGGATGTCACGCGTAGGTAAGAGGCCAGGAAGGTGGCTAGCGTGCTATTTAAGAATTTTGTAACTTTAGAGTTCTAAAGTGTGAGCCGACATCCGCGCTGTAAACTGAAATAGGAATAGGCGCATGCAAGTTGTCTGGGTAAGGATGCGTGCATGTGCCGCTCTTACAGATATAGCCATCAAGTCACGCTGTGAGATACCGGGTTGCCGGCGGCACCGACGTATATAAACAAGTGTAGGCCCCTTAGCTATATGGTTCTTGTAAACTTGAAACCATTTAACAGTATTGAAATCCCCCTATCTACACATCAAAGTTGGCTACGAACTTGCGCGCCCTTCCCCTAACTAAACCTTAATCTGCCACGACATCCCCGCTAAACTCAGTCGGATATCACGCAGCTGAAATCTAATCCTGGACAGCAATTGGAGGCGGTTCAAACCATTGTGCCCGTTTTAGAGCCTTTGCTACAGTTTAAAAGCACGCCGTGCCGCTGCTTCACAGCTCGAAAAAGTCACCTATTAGCATCGCTGGCTTTCTGGATTTTTCTCCATTCACTGGTCTTTTTTTAAACCAAACTCAGAGTTTAACTAGGGCTTCCATTGCCACTGGCCCAGAGTTTCACATCCTTGTTTGATTCCAAGACCCCGATACCCCCAGAGCCGAGACAGAGCTATTTGCAGGAGATTGCAAACATTCCCGTATAAAAAAAAATGACGTACTCCTGCACAGCCTCGGACGCGCCGATTCGCACGTCTTCCCCACACTCTGATGATGTCACGCCCAGAGATAGCACTCGGAGTGCCTCGGAGAATACTCGGTATGCAAACAAACATTTGCCAAGACCTGACAGTCAGCACAGCACAGACCCTTCAAAAAAACTGTCTGTCGAGAATATAAACGCCTCTTCTCTCTCCGTAATAAAGTTTGACGCTTCCCTCGAATACCTCACTCGCTATTCTCCCATGCATCCTCCCTCATACCAAGCATCCCACTCCGCCCCCACCTATCCTATCTACAGAGATGCGCTAGATGAGGTGTTAAATCATGAAAAGTTGCCGCTGTACAAACCAGCCTCTGAAGGCTTCGGACTAGTGCTCGTAAAGAGAGAATTGGTGTCGCCATACAAAGAATACGATACTGAATGGCAGCCGTGCTTTATGGAGCTCAACTCGACCCAGTTGAACTTCTACCAGCTCTCGAGAAAGAAGGACAGAGCCGTTCCATCTGTTGCAGAAATCATCCACAGCTTCCAGGCAGTGTGTAACACTGACACCGAAAAGACCCCTACTTCCGCCCTTAGTCGGTTGTGGAAGACCACTGGGTCTGTAGACAAGAGAAATTTGGACTCTCTCTTCACGATGCCATATCCCGCCACCTTCCACAGCATTCCCTCGCTGATCATCTCCCAATCCCCCGTCAAGTCATACATTATATTTACCCACCAGCCCGTGTCATCCTACACGTTGCAACGCGCCAAAATCGGAGTCGCCACCGACACCCAGGGCGGTTCTCCTGCGGTATTTCTCAGGGCCAGAGTTGAGACTGAGCAGTTGCTCATCCAGTGCTTTTCCGAGGAGAGTCTCATCGACTGGTACTTTAAATTGAACTTTGCCAAGGACTTGAGCTTGCCGTTAGAGCTGAGACTGGAGACCACGGTGAGGACGATTCCCCGCCGAAGAGGTACGCGCTATCGCGGCGAAGGCGAAGGCAATCTCTTAGATGCGGTTTCCGGGTCCCAAAATCGCTCAAGCAGTGGGTTAAACACAAAATACGACTATTCACAGGTGGACCAAACCGTCAGAGGAAGAGCTAACTCTGCATCCACCACTGCCTCCGACGTCTCGACTGTCAACTCCCAGTTCACCCAGGACTCCCTGTCAGATTTTTCCGAGTGCTCGATGGAAGAGTTTGAGGTGAGGCCCTCAGGTCTGGCTCTTACCCCCGGGTCAAAGAACTACAACTTAGAGTTATCGTTCATCAAGCAGTTGATGTCCAGCTTAAAGGCGACTGATAAGTGGGTCGGTCAGCCGCTTGTGGTTTCCCACAAATCCCCGGAAGCTCGCAGCCATATGTCTAAGGTCCAAGTTTCGGTTGACTCCAGACTCAGCACTATGCGAATTTTGGGCATCGAGCCCCCGGCCTCTCAAAATTTAACCACAAGGAGCCAGCGGTTCCAAGACTGTCTCGACAAGACTGAAGAAGCTGAGACCGAGTCTCTGGTGTGGGTTTTACCGCTCAAGAAGTCTGCGATGTTTGGTCAGGCAAAGTGGAGTGGGAGCGAGCATCACCACCTCGCGTGCCATGAGTATATCGTGGCGAGACACGGGCTTGTGTGCTTGTGAAAACATATAGATAAGATATAATGCTTAATGATACTATTTATTTAACGCTATAACGTAAGCTCGCAGACCGGAAGGCTCTCCATCAGTCTTGCCATTGGCTAACACAAAACCAGGAGGCCCCCAATGTACGCTGCCTAACATACTAGAGTCATTATGTGGTAAACGTATAACTTTGGTCTCAGAGATAGATATTTTAAAGACATAATCGTCCCCGTGTGCTCAAACTAGGCCTGTTTTATCTATGGATGGGGTATATCGATCCGAATCTAAGCTGCCAAGCAATGTATGCCACTATACCATGCGCGTCTCATGGCAGTGAAACAGGCAATCATAGTGTACTCTAGCCCCAGTGCAGGCTCAATATAATTCGCGACGTGATTAGTGATAAATGAGTTGTAAAATGTCTGTATTTAGGTTAATTTTTGACAATGGGTTACGAAAGCTAAGCGGCTGAAGGGAGAACGCACAAGCTTTTGGCAATGTCTCGCCTCACATGGTGTGGCGAATGTAAATACCGGTGGCAGAAGATGTAAATCCATTTTGAGCAACCCCTCACCTGGCAAACAGCTCCTGACCTTGGCACTGTCACATGACACAACACATGTGACAGTTTACTCACGAGTGACCGGTTGGTCTTTCGTGCGGCGAGGGCCGAGGCCTGCGGTACGAGTTGCCCCCCGCGAAAAAAAGAAAATTCCTAAAATTTCGCCCCGCTAAGGTTTTCAGATTTGGGAGCGAGCAGGAAATTTGTCCTCGACCGCCTTGGAATTCCCATTCTCGTGGACTCTTAAATACATAGTGGACTTGTTAAGTTTTAAATTATTATGTCTCTAATTTCTCATTCATTTGGTCTACTGGACGCGGGATATTGCTTCGCTGCGGTTTGCACAACCGCGGCACGTGTCCAAATGTAGTTTTTAAAAGTGAATTTTGAATGGCTGGTGGAACAAGGCAGAAGGAATTCTGTACAACCTATACATAACCACCCACGCCGCCGTTTACTAACCGAATGACCAGACCATTATCATAGTCCTAAGTCAGACTTTAGCGAGCCTGTAGGTTAAACTTCCATCCAATGTTATCCTACCGACGTATCAGAAGGAACCGACAGGTTGCTTACAAAGCTCATAGAGAAACGATAGGAGCTGGTTCAGGGAAACGGTAGGGGATGGCTCAGAGAACCGGATAGATATTTTTTTTTTTAAATCGTAAACAAAAGAACATGAACTCACGAAAAGGCCCGCGAGCAAAAATAGGGATTAGGAAAGGCGTGGCAAAACGAAGGCGACAGGGCCATAACAAGACGCAAAGCCAGGCCTTTATTAGCATTTTACTTCGCTGGGTAGCTCATCTGGTACCCGTTGATGATGTACTGCTCAACATCGCCGGAAGGATGTAAGTGGGACACCATCAGGGCCTTCTGTTGCATTTCGTGCTGCTGCATCTGCATCTGCATCTGTTGCTGAAATTGTAGTTGGCTTTGGTAATGCATCTGTTCTTCTGGCGACATCATTCCGAACTGGGCAGCCTGAGCGCCCATGGCAGCGTTTTCTCCACAGTGGTATGTGGTCATCCCGTTAAATGTGACACGTTTAGCATCGAGCCCTTGGCCTGCACCACCAAACTGTTGTTTTAAGCGCTTGGAGCTGTCGGCACAGGTTTGTCCGCTAAGCGTTCCATCGTACTCGTTAGAGTTTCTTCTCTTTGTGCCCGCGTTAAACGGCTCCTGGGACGGCTGGACCGGTTCGGGTTTGTTATAAACAGGGTCTGAATGTGTTGGACCGAAGTATCTGTTATCACCGCATGTGGTGTCATAATTAATAATACAGTGTGAAACGGAGCTGGTGAAGAATTGCATCGTGGAGGGATTGGTGTTTTATGAAAAATAGACTGGTATGCGCGTGTGAGACGGGGATGTAAGGCCAGTGAAGGGTCTTGAGAGGAGTGAAATAGTCCGAAGTGATAAAAGGGATACGGAAGAAAGTAAACGGAAAGAAGAGATTAAAAGAGAGAGACAGGGATTTTTTTGTCTTCCGCCGTTTTGGGGGTGATACCCAGCGGCAGAGGTGGGCGCGTAGTAGGAATGCAAAATGTATCTACTTTTGCTGCTTAAGTGCCGTTAGTATGCAATGTAGGATGTCAGATTTCGCTGTCTGTAGGATATTCGTGTATAGAGTGGGAGCGGTGCAGTCGACAAAATATGCAATGTTGTACGGGTGAGATGAGCCGCTGGGATTAAATTGCTTTTTCTCCTTCCCCGGGGGTGGAAAACTTTCTGAATGCACCGCGTGCGTGTACGGTTCGGGAAGTATCCGAGTATTTCTTAATATGGCGGATAGTACCGAGAGCGCGAGCTAGCAGATGAGGGCCCCAAAGGGTTACCAGTTTTACTAGCCGGATAAGAACTACAGATGATGCAGTATAGAGATGACAAATTTATTCAACCAAAATTGGGCCACTTATTGCTGTATCAGAATAACCCAGGGCGGTGGATATTTCTTTTTAAGAAACTGCCTTTTGGAAGTCTAGAGCAAGTCCTGTATTCTGCCTTGTGTAAAAGCCATCCTGTGCGTAGGATAATATCCTGACGTTTGGGCAGGCTGGCAATACCATTCCTCTGTGCAGGTTCGCACTCGCGCGTCAATGCATGTGATTATGTGCAGGAAGCATCATTCAGTCACGTGATTAATTTCAGACTATGAGCAACAGCTATAGAGCACATGCTAACGACAGACCGGATTGGGCCATCCTTTTGTCCTGGCCGTTCAAGGGGGTTTTATCAAGGGCTATTCAGAGGGAATATGGAGGGAATGATTAATATAGCCCATAGAAACCCTAAAAAGTTATTGGCTGCCACCGTCTTTGGTGGGAGGATAGGTTAAAATACGGGATATTCATCTACGCAGCTGATGCAGAGTAGTACGACAACCTCTACTACACCAGTGGGTTACAAGAGGGACGAATCCAGGGCTGGATGAATCCCTTCCGCCCTGATCGTTGAGGCGAGATAACCTCGTAGCTCATTAACCTCTATTCTGCACGTGACCTCCACAGTCATGCAATTTGCATACGATCACACACACAAAAACCCCAAGCCGCATTAACCTAGATATCGGGTAAAAAGAAAAAAAGAGAAAAAACGCACCACAGTCAAAAGCAGTGACGGATCAAGTTAAAACGTTGCGTGTGGATACCTACAACAAGGATAGAGTCACAAACCACAGCATACCACATTCAAAAACACACCGCGTTCAAAAGACGCTCACCTGAACACCCAAAGAGTCTGCGCCAATAAGAAACATCACCCGAAATGGATTTGTCGAATCTCAAGTCACAGCTTCCGCCCTCCAAACCCGTGTCGGACCAGCTGTTGGATGACTTGTCCCGCGATATCACTGCTGAATTCAAGAATGCCGCCAGATCCGTTGCGGCCCTATACAAACTTTCCGATTCCAAAGCCAGCCTACTAAGACACCGCGGCTATCTCGATGCGATCGATGATTTGCTAGAGTGTATCAGTTGTGGCGGCGACGTCGAAAACTGGGCGTTGACCAAGCGTGCCGAGTTAGTTGGTAATAGTCAAACTGCCCCTGCCTCTGTCCCATCCACCTCGGAGAACCAACAGCCAACCATATCCACTCCTCCGGGCAAAGCCGCCAACTTAGACAACGGCCTTCCGCTGGACTTTCCCTTCACGATCAGCCTGCCATGTCCGCACGAGTTCCACCCAAGTTTCGCCCCCTTATCGGTGCAGCACATCCACCAACAAAACATGCAGCACCACAGCCAGCACCACAGCCTAAACGTTGGACTCGGTCCTGGGTCCAGAAAGTTACAGACCCTTGTCCGGACCTCCAGTGCGATGAAGAAAAGCAGCGGTAGCGAAGCCGACGAAGAAGCGGGTGGGGATGATGAAAACGAGAGCGACAGTGACGGAAACCTGTCTTTCTCCATGCATGACCAGAGTATTGACTACACAGACCAGAAGGAAATCACTGACAGGGATGACAATTTGGACGAGGAGTGGATTGTGGACGAACACGACGGATCGACCATCGCTGGTGCAAAGAGACGTTTTTTGAGAGAATGCGGGGATAAAAAGCCGAGGGTTTTGTGAACACGGTTCCCTTTATGATTTAACGAACTAACGATTAAACTGCGCTTTAGGTTGGAAGGGAAACATCACTCAGTGTCCTGTCCATTCTAGAGGTCTCCAGCATCGGTAAGAATGTATGCCGCCTCTCCAACAACCAGTATAGACTGAGGTCATACCTTTCAAAAGTGGATCGGCTGTGCGCCAGAACCAACTTACATTGATCACCCAACCCTGGGGATATTGGAAAGGAATAATGATTTTAGTGTGAGATATAACGTCACGTATAGTCAGTAATATTGACCATAAATAGTATGTAAAAGTTTTGCCCTAAAGCCCTTGAGAATCTCCTTTCAAAGCCATATACAGTGTTTAAAATACTCTAACACACATTAAGCAACAGAAGCCATACCCCTTGTACGAGCTGGCTTGCCCGTTCCAACTAGTGATGAAAACGACCGAGCCCACCCACGATCCTGCGTTCATCCCGTGTTACAGAAATCCACGAGACATTCCCCGCGCGTGCCTGCTGCCCTGAAAACCTACCTTCTTGCATAATTGTGCAGCACTTCACGAACGTCACTTTCATTTTCGGCAGGGTTGCCGCGCCACGCGATTTCAGAACACTCTATCGGGTTTATACCAGCCTGTCCAGCTGAACTTATGAATAGCTGCTTCATAATAACCCACTGAATACAGATTTCACCGACCCAAACACACAAACCTGGACTCGCCATACTATGACAAAGCTCAACGTCACTACCCCACCCGCTTCGGCCTCCATTGATGGCCCAAAGGGCACTGCCAAGACCGCTACAGACGACACGGAGCGCAGGATGAGAGCAGAAGAGAAGCGGGAGTTTTCGGAAGCCCGCAGGGCGCAGCTACAGTACGCGTCCGTTATCAAGACCAACTTGGAGGGCTTGCCGGACACGTTGCTCCACAACTATGAGGAAGACGCTATTATCCCGGCGGGCCAGAGTAAATTCCTCTACAAAACCGTGTTCAGCGACCCCGATGCGTTTTTTGACGACAAACAGGACGTGGTGCGCTTTCTTAAAGCCATCCGCCTGGTGGTGCGAGAGCTGGTCAAGGATGTCAAGGAAAACCACTCCAAGATGAAGTTCGAAACAAGGGACGCCGTGACGGCTGAAGCGAAGGACAAACCTAGTCAGGAAGCGGTGGTGGAGTTTATCCAAAGCTTACACTTTTCACCCTCCACCTTTAACCTCAAGGCCAAGACCTTGTCCATTATTGTGTCATCGATAGACACGATGGACAAGACCTTGGCTCAGAACATCAAGGAATACATGAAAGCCTACGTATCTACAGAGACTTTTTTACCTAAGAAGAACAACAAGGAGTTGGAATGTCGAATCAAACCGATATGGATCCGATCCAGCCCCAAGGGGTTCTTAGGGACGATAGTGGTGGGGCTTCTGCTCCCAAACTACCGTGCGGGGGTGGGGGGCAAGATTCTCAAAAGGTTGTTGCAGCCAAACGATGTGATTATGTTTGGCACCGTTCCTTCCGCGGAAGACTGTGACCTCTTGTCCATGACCACCCCTTATGGCTTGACTATGTTCTACTTTGTTGTAAGAATAGCCTCCGAGAAGGTTCCGAATGTTGAATTCGCCTGGAGGAGGTTCCAGGTGCGTCTTAAGGTGCTTGCCGGCCGTAAGTGGTGCACGGTCGAAGGGCCACCTAGACCGTACGGTGTGCGGGGTGAAAGAGCCTCTTGCTTGATGCATCTGACATGTGACAAGTGCGGGTTGGAAAATGAAGTATTTGGGTGTTTGAATTTTTCCTGAGTGGAAGCACGACTCAGCTAAGACTTGGATACGGGTAAGCCACCTGGATACCCAAGAGCGGACCCTCAAGGATTGGCCAAGGAGAAGTCCAAAATAAAAATACACTAACTGAAGATATGCTGAAGGTGTATTCTGAAGGAGTATTTTGAAAGTGTACCCTGAAGGAGTATTTTGAAGATGTATTTTGTGATGGATGATATGTGCCGTCCCAAACGAGTTTGCCAGGTTTCAGATCTGGCCCAGGGATCTTGGAAAAAGCTCCCAGGAGAGCAACTGTTTACTAAATAATGATAGGGACTATTGGTACCGAGAGTAGCATTTTCAAGACTCGCAGTTTCAGTTGTATTCCTATCTTGTATTTAAAATCTATGAAGCAGGACTGGCGTAAGCCTTTTTGCGTTTGAATTCTTTCTGAAGACCATGTGATTTAATTCTATCCTAATTTAATTCCGATTTTCGTGTTCCACTGGGCAAACACATGATCTACGTGTGTCTGCCTTTTACGCAATAATACAATACCAGCGTGGTCAGGTTTAGACTCGAACGATGTGTTCACAGTACATGCAATAGCTGGGGTTATAACAACCGGGGTGACTCGTCTAGATCATGCATTGCATTCATATTCTAACCTCCAGCCTTTTAATTTTCAGAGATATTTCGTATATCCCTATATGTGTAGACTTTGGGGATTATCAGGCCACGGGAAATGGTGGGTGGACAGAGTATTTGTCCCTGGCTCGGAGTACCTTTCCTTGGAAGTGTAATGGGGTTCTTACCAAGAAACCCACTTAAAAGTGAATGTACATATATGATGCGGTTATGCTTGGCCAAAATCAGAACCCACACTATACTCACGAGTTTATGAATCCTCACTTCCGTTACTTTTAGAGTACACAACCCGTTAGTCGGGTTGTGTTTGCCGCTGGTTTACTGCCCCACAAGGAGATTCGCCTTAAATATAGATCGAAAATCACAGACTGTATTCAACGAGCCGTATATTTCTTCATATATATCCCCATTACCCTGTGATATCATATAGAATGGTGCCACCCTCGAATCGTACCGTCTATCTTCATCGGTCGTCCGCTCTAGATGCAGAGAAAAGACGTCCAGGAGTATAGAAGCCTGCATGAAATCTGCTATTCACAAACAGCAAAACCAAACCCTGGTAATACCGGCCACATGATTAGGGATAAAATCCTCCTTTTGGTCTTTAAGTGACCCTGGCCGTGCTCATTCATGTATCAATCGACACAGACTGTCAATTAGTAGAACGCCCGTCGGCTGTACGATGCATGCATGCATAGTTACGCGAGGGTTGGGAGATCTTTAACCACTGTAACTGGAGCCACGGAGACGTTAAACTTCACGCTTCGGAAGCGCATGCATACGGTCCTATGGGCCAAGAGCATGATGCATAGGAGTTAACATGAGGTACAGCACTGCAAATAACCTATACATACTGCCAGTATCCCTTCGGAAAAGAGAATGTTCTTGTACCCCCCAAAAAAACTCAAGCCTCGCTTGTATCTATTTCTCCTCGTTTGGCCCTTGATATCTGTGCGATTGCCGTTACCATGAATCTCCACAGCCCTTCGTCCTTGGACCGCAAACAGAAGCGGGATAGCGTCGCTAATATGGAGAGAGTAAGCTATCTGCTATCGGTAATGACCCCCAAAATGGCGTTTGCCAAAGATAGGGCTACCGCCACTGCGGACAAATACGAGCTGGAAACCCAATCCCTCTGTGACAGTGACCCATCCGACACCTCTATAGAGGTGATTGTGGAGCCACATGTGCTGAAACAAAACACCGGAGTCACCGAAGACTCATATGCAAAGTATCCGGAAACGGCCACCCCCACATTGAGCATGACGAGCAGCGTGAGCACAACCACGGCCCTTGCTCGACAGGGAATTGTGTATACCCACCCTCGTCCTTTTTCACCCATTTCAACCGTATTTAGTTCCAGTTTGACGTTAGAAGCCGATGCCAGGGCTGCATCCCAACTTCAAGAGTATCTCATAGCCACAGCTACACAGGAGATTTTACCGGAGCTTTCCCCACAAGACAATAACTCTAGGAAAAAGCCGCCGCCGACATACCAACAGGCGGGGCTGAAGGCTCAGCCTTGGGGTGTTGTTTCTCGGGCGAACACGGAAGACATAGCTGCGGATTCGGTTACAACTTCAAAGGGGTCTATTGGGGTGCTGGTACCAGCGGAGAGGGCCAAAAGTATTCCCAACGAAAGGAGAACCTCAACTGCAACCAGCCACGTGCTACTCACTGTCGAAGAACTGCTCACTCCAGGGATGTCATTCGACAAGGAGGGGTTCGGTGAAGTCGACCGGCCGGCACGCCGGTTAAATGTCACTGAAAAGAGCTTTGAAAAAGTGGAAAGTACACCCAAGACCTACGGGGATGTGTTCCTCGGCACTGGCGCGGATAATGATGTACCTGAAGACAGTGCTTATAATCCCCCCAAGACTAAAAGTAGCCCCTCATCAATGAACGATGACAGCACTCTCAGTACCCATTTCTTGGTTAACTACAGCACCCACAGCTCCCTTTCCCAAAACGACAACGAACCTACGATTACTCCGCTCAGCCAAAAGACCTCCCCTCCCCCTTTATCTTCCGAGTCTGAGCACGAGGGTAAGAAAAGTCTTTTATCTAGTTCCTGTTACCAGACGCCTTCGGCTACCCTCTGTCTCCCTTCCTCTGCTACCCTCCCTCTCTGGTCTCCCCCCTCTGAAACTAACCTGATCAGAGACATAAATCAGGTGCACAGGGCTCAAGCGTACTACCAAAGAAGACAGAACCACAACTTACGGAGCGTTCCACGGGATTTGATTGGAGTGTATGAGAGAGAATGTGAGTTTGAATCGTCCCCCACGTATCTCCCCTACGACATCCTATTTGAAGACCGGGCTTACTTTCCCGCAAGCAAACTCGAAGTATCAGTGCTCCTCCAGTGTATCCGAAAGTACTTAACCCAGGTGGTCAGCCGCCTCCAAGCAGAACAGAAGACCATCGGACCTGGTGTGAGCAAATTCCGTGTGACAAGTTTTGATGGCGTGACCAAAAACGTGTCTTACCATAACCAGACAACCCCCCGGAAACAATCTGCTTTGATCAAACTTATCCAAAACCTCCATCTCTCCCCATTCGTATACGATGCTGAGGAAAGAAAACTCCAGATTGTCGTTTCTTCCTTGCTGCCGATCAATGAGCGGTTGTTGGGGAGCATCAGAGACTTTTTGGATGTTTTTGTGACCTCACAGTATTTCACCGTCCCCGGCGTAGCTCAGTTCAGGGTTCAGCAAGCTACAAACGAGAGTAGATTCCAAGGGGTGGCCATGGTTTCTCTCACCCTTCCAAGATACCGTGCCGGTGCTGCTAGTATGTTGCTCAAACAGTTATTGCATCACCAAGATGAGATAGTGGCCACTAATGCCCCAACAACCGAGGAAGGGGATATCCTAGCCACCTCCTACCCGATGAATTTGATCAAATTCTACTTTGTGGTGAGAATTGCCACAGGGCAGATGCCTGACCCGGGTCACCCTTGGTCCGCTGCCCTGGCGCGGTTAAAGGTGCTTGCTGGGCATAAGTGGTGCACGGAGAAAGTGTCCAGTTCGAAATCGGGATCTAGATCCAGCTGTTTGATGTATACACAATGCGATAAGTGCGGAATGAAAAATCGGATCTTCAGCTGTGTTGCCCTACAATAGACTTAGAATAGGGTCATAATCGTTAATAAAAACAGGTTACCGCTACTACCCGAAGAACCACCGAAGCAGGACCAAGAATAGTTGAGGGATTTCACCCAAGACTAAAGTAAAGATTTGGGATTACAACCCGATACCTAGCATAGTTATTTGTAGACTTGTGTACGGGACTAGTAATTTTCACACCAAGGCCTAAACGCTTTATGGATTTATAGACCAAGCCCCAGCTCCCAAAAAAGTTTACGACGATTAGCATTCTTCACTGCTTGACCACGACTCACTGTGTACTATGCCTCTGCAGATTCCGAGATATACTGAAATCATACAAACCTAATTTTGCCCACACTAAAACCACAACCATAACCACTCATACAGCCATAGACGACCCTCTCCGGACAATTATATCGTTATCTTTATCCGATATTGCATTGCCGTCGTGGTCTACACGCAACCTGGGAGGCCGCCAAACCACGTGCACAGCTCGAAATTCTCGCATTCGCTGTTTCGGGGGCAGATGCTGCTCGACTGGGAAATACTGCGGGCATATTGGCAACACTGTCGTCCCAACGCATGACTCCCCTTTTGGGTTGTAGAGCAATCGTCCGGATGGCCTGCACGCAATGAAGCCCGCAGGGCTGTACGTTATTTTTTATTTACATTTTCCCTAAAAAGAACCATTATGCGGCGAGTACGGCTGTGTATCTGCAACGCTTGCATCTTGTTATTTACGTTTCTCCTAATGCTCCCGCTAGATGGTCAAGAATGCATGCAAGAAGTCTCTCCATTAAGGATGAACACTCCTAGTACCAGGGTATCCCTTTTTATAAAACAGGAATAAACCTTTACCAATAGGATATTTAAACCAACATTTACCTAAAGGGGTATGAATGCAAGTATATTTATGACGCAGACTGCTCCCGAAGTAATCGTCCCACTAAGCTTCCTTCCGCTTAGCTTAGGGGAATTTCACTTTGCACAGGCCGACTGCAGAGCTTGGGACTCAGTCACGGAATATCCCATACAATCCTTGTCCAAATCTGTGCTAGATCGTTCTTAGTCCTGCGGCGTACCGGCTTGCATTCGAAAATTTCGTACGCCTCACCTCGCATCGCTCCCTGTTCCTTACATCTCACATTGACATTGGAAAAACAACACCGCTGGTTATTGCTCAATTGCTATATCATTCTCTTTGTTATTTTCCAATCTCCTCTTTAAATATCACTTGTTAAACCACGCAAACATGAAGTTAGCCATCGGAGGTCTCAATACCTTCTTCTTATTAGGGTATGTATATGACAACGCAGGCTTCTCACAGCCAGCGCCCGGGTAGCTGTATACTAACATCAACAGTGCCAACCTTCTCATCGCCTTGATCGTCCTTTCCGGTGTTGTTACCCACGCGCCATTCGACAAGTTTTATTGGCTCCAAGCAGACACTTCCACTATCGATGGCGCTCCAGAACTCTCCCGTTGGACCTTTTGGGGTCTCTGCCAGCCAGAAGCGAGAGATGGTGCGTCCATTAACTGTAACACGACGCCAGATTACCCACTCTCCCCGCTTGACAACTTTCCTACCTCTGCCAACATCCCGTCCGACTTTGTCAAGAACCGTGATACTTACTACTATTTGACCAGAACCGCGTTCCCACTCTACTTTGTTGGCTGGGCCTTTGCCTTTGTCTCTGTGTTCACCTCCATCTTTTCCTGGTGCTCCCACCGTTTAAACTTTGCCACTTCCATTTTTACCTTCCTCGGCCTCTTGACCACTTTGACCGCTACCGTTTTGCAGACCGCTGCCATCGCCATGGCCAAGAAGACTTTCAAGAACGCCGGCAACTACTCTCACATCGGACCTACCATGTTGGGGTTGACTTGGGCGGCTTCTGTCTGTATTGCCATTGTTTTCTTCTCCTCCACCGGTGCAGCCTGCTACAGAGGCTTCAAAGAGCACGCTGAGAGCGTGCACGAAGCCAACCACGAGGAGGAGTACAAGTCTTCTGACCTTGACAAGTATACTGCTCCCACCGACACCCAATTGCGTCGCGAAGTCTCCTCCGAGGCCTCTGCGACCCAGGCCTTTGAAGACCCTTACGCCGCCCAGAACAACCTCAACCAGGAACAGCCCCAGCAGGACGGAGAGGGCAGCGGTATCAGATTCTTCAAGGTGAGAAAGGTCGGTCAGACGCCAGTTTAAACACAATACATTCCTCATGATGGAGTCCTATCATGTGTTTTTTTTCTCTTCTCCATTCCACTAATATATATCTCAAACCCTTGACTCGGAATGGCACACAGTGGCATCTACTGCATTGAGCCTCTTTTTCAACGTTTAATTTATTCTCTCAGATTATCCCCTGTTTTACTATAATGTACGGTTACCGCTAGGGTAAATTTGTTCGATCTGGCTACGAGTACTTTCCAGTCGCCGGTTTATTTCTCGTTAAATAGTGTGGATATGGCCGGGCTAGCCTTTGGGATGACTGACAATGCCACTGTACCATCGGGTAAGCTTTGAATTAGTCCCTTTGACGACCAACTTCGATTGTCATGACATTTTTTTAGCTTCACATGGCGTGTGCTATGCGTTCAATGTTATAAACATCCAGAGACATTTGGCTGATCTTGACCAGAAAGCAAGCCTTTCACACCGGAATTTGCACCAATTGGATTTTGGTTATTGGATCCCCAAATTAACCCCACAGTTATTCTAGCCAGAGAGTGTTACCAGCAAAATCTTCCGACCTCATCGCCTATAGGTTACGTGCCCCGTAGCTGCATGCACATTTTTGTATGCACAATATTTTCTCTCCAGCATATACTTCAGTAAGGTCACTTTTTGCAGCCATTCAACGGCTATTCCACGAATATTCTAATCTAGCATCTAATAGCATGGCAAACTCAAAGTACGTTTTCTTTTCTCAGACTCTGTCTACCAATTTATCCTAACCAACAGATATGAATACGTCAAAAACTTTGAGCGAGAGAATCACCTCCTTCCGTCTTGCTACATTTTGATCCGCGTGGATGGCCGCGGGTTTCACAAGTTCAGCGCACACTACGAGTTTGCGAAACCAAATGATGCCGCCGCCTTACAGGTCATGAACCAGGCAGCGGAGCAGATGATGCGCCAGTTCCCCGACATTAGCGTGTGCTACGGGGATTCTGACGAGTACTCGTTCTTGTTGAGACGTAATTGTGAGCTTTTTGAGCGCCGCGAGTCAAAGTTGACCTCAACTTTTGCCAGCACGTTTTCCGCATTGTACCAGTTCTACTGGCGAGAAGTGATCCCAGAAAAGCCGTTGACGGTCGAGCGGTTACCCACATTTGATGCCCGGTGCGTGGTGTACCCCAACGCAGAAATCGTCCGCGACTACTTCCGTTGGAGACAGGTGGACTGCCACATCAACAACTTGTACAACACCACATTCTGGTACTTGGTATTACATGGGGGGATGACAACGAAGGAGGCAGAAAACCGGTTGATTGGGACGTTGGCGAGCGATAAACACGAAATTTTGTTCTCCCAGTTCCAACTCAACTACAACAACGAGCCTGAGGCGTACAAAAAGGGCACCACGATCTGCCGCGAGTATAGTGTGGTGGATGCTATTGAAGGGGGAATGATGAAAATGGAGTTGAGCGAGCGCCAGAAGCAGCGTGAAGAGAAGAAGCGCAAGAAGGCCAAGGTAGTGGTGCATCACACGGATATCATTAATGACAAGTTCTGGAACGAAAGGCCATGGTTGTTGCAATAGACTCTAGTGATAATAGATAGTGTAAGGAGATGCTGCCGTAAGACCCAGTGAACCCGGATTATTTGGACGACACCAAGTCAGAATTTACAATTGATAGATGCGGAAGGATTGATACTACACAATAATACTCGTGCTCAATGTAGAGTGGTGACAGGCTGCGTTTCATGTCGTATTTGCAGCCGGGTACGAGCAGATTCTCGAAGGCAAAGCTATTGATTTTGCATAGACATAGCGGTCAAAAGCGGATGTAACTATGCAAAAACTAGTTGTAAAAGCGAGCAGAATGAGAACCTCAGGCTTCAGCTACGATCCATTTCGAGTTGCTGAAATCCGCATCGATCGCTATTTATTGTGAGGCAAAACAGGCGGTTCTGATTTTACCACTTTTACGCTAGATAGACGTAGCTGTATATTAAAAACAATGACATGAAACAATGACATGAAACAATTACAAGGAAAGATTACAAGAAAAAAACTACAATTGTTGCAATCTCTCGCCGATCTTGGCCCTGGCAAAGTTAAAGGCAGAAAACAAGCCCTTCTCACTCAAGTCAATCTTGGCCAAATTAATGGCATCGGCCGATGGTGGGCCAGTGACTCTGGAGGCGATGACGGCTGAATCTGTTTCCAAGATGATGCCATCGTCGATAGTCTCGTCGATCGCCAACACAACCATATCGTAGTTCTCGGTGATGGACTTTTTGTCTAATGCGTTCTTCAACAAGATGTTGAAGGCCTCCACAAGCCCGCTGAAGCAACTCATCAAAAGAACCTCGTTCTCGTTCAAGTCACCCACCAAATATATAACCACGTCCGCAAACTCCTTGTAGAGCACAATGTGGTTGTCAAACAATATGATGTCGGAGTTGATCTTGTGTGTTTTCTTGAATAACGCCGTCTCGAAGCTCTGTTGCGACTTGAGGGTCTGGAACGGCGATGCGGTGGCATCCTCGGCGCTGTGTGGGGGTTTAAAGTACTTGGCATAGAGTCTTTTGGCCTCGTTGTCTAGTATGACAACCGCCTTGACAGTGTAGAGAGAGGTATTCAAGGACATGGGAGCAATGGGTTGGGGGTCCAAACCAACCAAGATCGGAATTAGCCGTCGGCGTGAAATACAATCGTGTCTAGATTGTGAGACGTGTTGGTTCTACTGGGTTGTACACGACTTTTTTTTTGCCAGACACCGAAAAAGTTGGCGCGTAAAAGGCAAAGGCAGTTCAAAATACAATGATGTTTGAACCCCAACCCATTGCTTCCAGACGCGATATCATATTGACCCAATACTTTTTCTTTAAGCATATAGCAAGTCTCCAAACAAACACGGTTTCATTATTCAGACCCGCCACATTCGCTCACCCTAGTTTCCACAAGAATACCATCGCCAGGCTTGCAATCCTCACGGTGCCTCTCTTATTTTGAAGAGAAATTGTACCCTTACCCACAGACCTCACACCCGAGTCCCCCAATACTAGGAGGCTAACCAACTGGCTTCGTCATCACTGGCACCTTAATCCCAGTACCGTTGTATTGCCCCGCATGTCCACCAGCGAGTCACATTTCTACTTCCACCTCCTACGCATCAGCGTGGCACAGATGTTGAAGAACGCGGGCTTCGACCGATGTGCGCCGTCCACACTCAACTTGGTGACAGATCTTTACACCCGCCATCTATCGCTTCTCTTGAAAGAGGCCCTCAAGCTCCTGGAACTCAGCGGTCGCGGCCAAGACCTCCAGGTCCAGGACATTGCGCAGGCATTTGTCAACATCGGCTTGATAAAACCCGTCACGCTTCTCGATCCGTTCGACCACGTCTACAAGCGAGAGACGAGTATCGATTTGGACTCAAACAACTACAACGACGGGATGAAGTTGTTCCTTGACTGGTCTACGGGTGACTGTCCCGAGCAGGCGCGGACCCTCAGTAGACCCACAAAGGAAATGATTGCGCTGGCAAAGAATACCACGCTTGGGCTACCGAGCACCACCGTGCGGGAGAACCCAAATAACCCTTTGAGACCCGTCTCCTCGTTTGTAATCCCCAGTAGCAGTCATCTCCAGGACAGTTCAGCCATGACGCCTGGTTCCTCCTTCCATTCATTGGACCTTAGCTCCATGCAGATGGCCAAAACTCCGGCCGCCCCAGAAGAGGAGTTTTCCGACCATGTTGACTGGTTTGCGTACCTCATGATGAAGCAGCACGGCAAGCTCGGTGCGGAGACCAGGTTCCAGGGAACCATCTTAGAGCCGTTAGAAAAATCTGCGAAGGATGCAGTGGCCGCCAATAGCGACTTTATCATTCTCGGCGAGACTCCGGAAACGTTAATCGACTGTTTACCGTATACCCAGCATTTGGATATGAGCGACGAAGAGTATTAAGACAGGGGTGAGCGAAAGGGTACCCCGAGATATGCTTATTTTGCTTCTGATTCTAAACGCCTGTCAATACCGCTATCCGGCTTTCGAATCTCCCGTGAACAGCCAGACGCATAGGTCTGAGCTTGGAAACTTGATTGGTCGGATATATGACCTAACCGGCTTTGATGGCCTATCCTGTTTATGTTTTTGGTTCCGTGACGAAACCCTGAATGTATAAGTAATGATTTATGATACGCAGTTGCAAGGTACGCACAGACGTGCTAGTTCAAGTGCATTCACGTGGTGATCTAAATGGTCACTTTTGGATCCACAATATGACAAAATCGTAGTTTCGTGGTGGTTTATCACTGGTAAATAAGCCAAGTTTAGCATACTTCTAATGACCAGTACTGGAAGCCATTCCGAAGGAACTGTGTCCACCATTCGTGTTCCAGACCTTAATCAAACCTGCACACAGCTGGGGGAAACGATTAATGATGTATCGTCGGCTCAACAAGGTTGAATCGATACCAAGATGGAATAGGCTAAAAATGATACTGCTAATATATTTCCACCATTTTGATTTTCTCCCTTACTGTTAAGTTCTCGAAACAGATCAATTGTACGACGTGCTCCTTAGCCGAGGCTATAGAAACGAACCTGCACGGAAACCATAGCAGCTAACGCTGGTATCAGCCCACACTAGTATCAACTCACCTTCTAGCCTTCCTCTAGATTCAAGTAACTCGGAAGCTAAGACTTAAAGTGCTGTTAAGTTCTCTCTCGACTCCCTAGGGGTAACCCCCGAAGAGCAAAGAGACTGAAGCTCTTCGGGGGTTACCCTATTATCCTGCATCATAAATTTTTCATTTTTCTTTTGGGCCTAAAATTTTTTCTTGAAAAGATGCACTTTTTGTTACCCCTGCCCTCCCTCTTCACACACTGATACCAGATCTGAACATAAAATGGGGGCCCAATTCAGAACGCTTGAGCGTGAGGCCCGTTTCCAGAACCCACCGAAGGACAAGTCTGCCTTCCCGTTCCTCGCTGACGCTGTGGCGCCACATGTCGGGTCGTTCAACGCCTTGACTGAGGGCCCGGACGGTGGGTTGCTCAACCTTGCGTGCCAGGACATTGGCAGCAAGACAATCTTTGACAGTAATGACCCCGAACGGTTGGGAAATAAGTTGAGCATCCGTGTGGAGTCTGTGCAGTTAACCAAGCCGGCGGTGCCAATGTCCGACAAGGTCTCGCTCAACAAACGCACGTACCCTTCTGAATGCAGAGAGAGAATGAGTACCTATAGATCACGTTTGGTGTTGAAATTGGCGTGGTCTGTCAACGACGGTGCTGAGGTTTCTGAGAACAGAGAGGCCGGGCAGGTGCCGATCATGTTGAAGTCGAACAGATGCCACTTGGAGAAGCTGTCTCCGGAGGAGCTCGTAGACTGCAAGGAGGAGTCAGACGAGATGGGTGGGTACTTCATCGTCAACGGTATCGAAAAGCTAATCAGAATGTTGATCGTCCAGAGACGTAACCACGTGATGGCGCTCATCCGTCCGTCCTTCGGCAACAGAGGTGCGACCTACACAAAGTTCGGTGTGCAGATCAGATCTGTCAGGCCGGATCAAACGTCGCAGACGAACGTGTTGCACTACCTCAACGACGGTAACGTGACGTTCCGTTTCTCGTGGAGAAAGAGTGAGTACCTCGTGCCGGTGATGATGGTGCTCAAGGCATTGGTCGAGACGAACGATCGCGAGATTTTCGACGGGGTTGTCGGTGCCGACTCCTCCAACTCGTTTCTTACTGACCGTCTCGAGTTGTTGTTGAGAACGTACAAGAAATACGCATTGCACTCGAAACAGGAGACATTGGCCTATCTCGGTGACAAGTTCCGCGTGGTCTTTAACGCCACGCCGGACGTTTCCGACATTAATGTCGGTAAGGAGGTCTTGAAGCGAATCGTGCTCGTGCACCTCGACTCCAATGCGGACAAGTTCCGCATGCTTTTGTTCATGGTCAGAAAGTTGTACACGTTAGTGGCCGGTGACTGCTGTCCTGACAATCCTGATGCTACCCAACATCAGGAGGTTCTTCTCGGTGGTTTCCTCTACGGGATGATCATCAAGGAGAAAATGGAGGAGTACCTCCAGAACATCCGTCTCCAGATCCAATCCGACATTTCCCGTGGGGTTGCCATCAACTTCAGCGACCGCAAATACATGTCGAGGGTCTTTATGCGCATTAACGAGAACATCGGCCAGAAGTTGCAGTACTTCCTCTCCACCGGTAACTTGGTCTCGCAGTCCGGGTTGGATTTGCAGCAGGTGTCCGGGTACACCGTTGTGGCGGAGAAAATTAACTTCCACCGTTTCATCTCACACTTCCGGATGGTCCACAGAGGGTCTTTCTTTACGGAAATGAAAACCACCACCGTCAGAAAGTTGTTACCCGAGTCCTGGGGGTTCCTCTGCCCGGTCCACACCCCTGATGGTTCGCCGTGTGGTTTGTTGAACCATTTGTCGCACAAGTGCAAGATTGCGACCGAAGCGTCTGACGTCTCGATGGTGCCAAAGGTGCTCTCTGCCTTGGGTGTTGCGCCAGCCCACACCTTTGCAGCCGGCCCCGACCAGTGTTGTGTACAGTTGGATGGTAAGATTATCGGTTGGTGTACCCACGAGCAGGGTAAGATTGTCGCCGACACCTTGAGATTCTTCAAGGTGGACGGACAGCACGGCTTACCGCTTGATTTGGAGGTGGGGTACGTGCCGCCGTCCTCCAAGGGTCAGTATCCAGGGTTATATCTCTTCGGTGGGTGCGCCAGAATGATGAGACCGACCAAGTACCTTCCGCTCGGCAAGCAGGATATCCTCGGGCCGTTTGAACAGGTATACATGAATGTGGCGGTCACTCCGGAGGAGATCGGCTCCAATATCCACACCCACGTTGAGTACTCACCAACCAACATCTTGTCGATCTTGGCCAACCTTACACCATTTTCTGACTTTAACCAGTCACCAAGAAACATGTACCAGTGCCAGATGGGTAAGCAGACCATGGGGACCCCTGGTGTGGGGTTGGTTCACAGATCGGACAACAAGTTGTACCGCTTGCAAACTGGCCAAACGCCAATCGTCAAAGCCAACTTGTACGACAACTACGGAATGGATAACTTCCCCAACGGTATGAATGCCGTGGTTGCGGTCATTTCCTACACCGGCTACGATATGGATGATGCAATGATCATCAACAAGTCGGCGGATGAGCGTGGGTTCGGGTACGGTACCGTCTACAAGGTCGAGAAGGTGGACTTGTCGCAGAGCAAGAGAAGAGGTGATCCAATCACGCAGCACTTCGGGTTCGGGCCGGATGAGTGGCCGGAGGAGTGGAGTGAGAAGCTCGACTCCGACGGGTTGCCATTGATCGGTGTCCAGGTGCACGAGGGTGATCCAATCTGCGCCTACTATGACGACACACTCGGGAAGACGAAGGTTAAGACCTACCACTCTTCCGAGCCGGGCTACATCGAGTCGGTCAAGCTTCTCGGGGACGATAATGGCGACCAGGAGTTTCAGACCATCAGCATCAAGTACAGAATCACCAGAAAGACGCAGATCGGTGACAAATTCTCATCCCGTCACGGGCAGAAGGGTGTTTGCTCCAGAAAGTGGCCGACCGTGGACATGCCGTTCTCTGAAACCGGGATTCAGCCGGACGTCATCATCAACCCCCACGCTTTCCCATCGCGTATGACCATCGGTATGTTCGTAGAGTCGCTTGCTGGTAAGGCCGGGTCATTGCACGGGATCTCTCAGGACTCCACGCCGTGGAAGTTCAGCGAAGACGATACCCCGGCAGACTTCTTTGGCGAGCAGTTGAGAAAGTCCGGGTACAATTACCATGGGAACGAGCCAATGTATTCCGGTGCCACTGGTGAGGAGTTGAGGGCCGATATTTACATCGGTGTGGTCTACTATCAAAGATTGAGACACATGGTCAATGATAAGTTCCAGGTCCGTTCGACCGGGCCCGTAAACTCGTTAACCATGCAGCCAGTCAAGGGGAGAAAGAGAAACGGTGGTATTCGTGTGGGTGAGATGGAGAGAGACGCGTTAATCGGACACGGTACCGCGTTCTTGTTGCAGGACCGTTTGTTGAACTGCTCCGATTACACCCAGACCTCTGTCTGTCGCTCGTGTGGCTCTTTGTTGACCACCCAAACCTCTGTGCCGCGAATTGGTGCGAGTGCCTCGGTCAGATGCAGAAGATGTTCCGGCAAGCTTGATCCAGCCGAGAAGACCGACAGTGCCGATGTCTGGGAGGACGGTCAGGGTAACAAGTTTGTCGGTGGAAGTAACTGCACCACCGTCGCCATTCCGTTCGTCTTGAAGTACTTGGACTCCGAGTTGGCCGCCATGGGGATTCGCATGCGCTACAACGTCGAGCCGATGTAAGTTGTGACATTGTATATCTTGTATTTTAAAATCATATCATATTAGATCTGTCGAAACCCTGTGCATATGGCTAGACTAGATAAATAAAAGATTTCCGTTATGGATCATAATTGACGTTTGTTTCACCATAAAAGAATCAGGGGTGCCGGGGATTTATGCTATAATGGTGGCTAACCAGGAGTAAATGCAGACGCGTTACTTCCTAAATCTATGTTAATTTGTCTTCAGAGCTTGTTGTGATTGTCAATTACCCCCCCCCCCCCCCCTTTTTTTTTAACACTGAAATTCATTCATTCTACAATGTATTCTTCAGCCCATTTATAGATCTATATCCTATTCTTGCCATTCATAACCAGACGTCGTCCACGCGTACTCCTGCACCACTGGGCCTCATCTGCTTAAACATGCCTCACCAGCCACGCCACACATTACTTTTCTGAGAGTATATACTCCACTAAAATAATTCATTCAATTCATACCTTTCGTACAGCCAATCTATTAAGTAGTCAAAAGGATAATCAAAATTTAAACCACCTCTCTTTTGCATAATATAGTACCTATCCGAATATTCTGTAAAAAAAAAACAAAAAAAAACAGCTTCCTATCCAACGTAAGTCCCTGCGCCGCACACCGCCACGGAACATTTTCCGTTGCCGCGTTGTGCGCTGGCAATTACAATTCTGCCGCTCTCGGCTAGACGCCGGATGAAAAAAGTACATTTACACGGCCACCACGTAAACCTGCTAAGTCATCAGCAAGTGATACCTTTTCTGGCTATTTCTTGTCACATCTCGGCCTCTTTGCACTAGAAACCCTTCCTAATTTCTTGCACCCGCTGTACCCGCCATAGATTCACGTCTCACCCAAATAGCCTGAATCCGTCACCAACTCTGGTTAGAGCTTCCGCCTTTTTTTAAAAAACCCTTAGTCATGGCCGAAAACCCCTTTTTGGTCAACCTAACCCGTGAGGTTCCCTCCCGCTCGAGCACCCCGTCGCTCAAGTACTGCTCCTCCTCCGTCGAAGACACCGTCAGAGAGCTCCAGACCGATTCCCTCAAGGGCCTCTCTGACAACCAAGATATTGCCTACCGCCGCAACATCCACGGCACCAACGAGCTCACCGAGGAAGAGGACGAACACATTGCGATCAAGTTTGTCAAGACATTCTACGAAGACAAGCTCATCCTCTTGTTAATCGGTTCTGCCGCCGTATCCTTCTGGATGGGCAACACTGACGACGCGGTTTCCATCACGCTTGCCATCTTCATTGTGGTTTCGGTTGGTTTCGTGCAGGAGTACCGTTCAGAAAAGTCCTTGGAAGCCTTGAACCAGTTGATCCCAGCCGAAGCCCACTTGACCAGAAACGGCTCCACGCAAACCGTTCTTGCCTCCACCTTGGTCCCCGGCGATCTTGTGCACTTTTCCGTGGGAGACAGAGTCCCGGCCGACATCCGTGTCACCGAAGCAGTCCATTTGTCCATTGACGAAAGTAACTTGACCGGTGAAAACAACCCGGTGTTCAAGAACATCGACGCTATTCGCTCCTCCGAGGTTGTGCCGGTCACTGGCCGTGAATCGATTGCCTTCATGGGCACCTTGGTCCGTGACGGCCATGGCAGCGGTATTGTGGTTGCCACCGGCTCCCTGACTGAGTTTGGGACTGTGTTTGCGATGATGTCTGAAATCGAAAAGCCCAAGACGCCGTTGCAGAACACCATGGACAAGCTCGGTGAGCAGTTGTCGCTCTTTTCGTTTGTTGTCATCGGTATCATCTGCCTCATTGGTGTCATCCAGGGCCGTTCGTGGTTGGACATGTTCCAGATTTCGGTTTCCCTCGCTGTGGCCGCCATCCCCGAGGGGTTGCCGATCATTGTCACCGTCACGCTTGCGCTTGGAGTCCTCAGAATGGCTCGCCACAAGGCGATTGTGAGACGTTTGCCTAGCGTGGAGACTTTAGGGTCTGTCAACGTGATTTGCTCGGATAAGACCGGTACCTTGACCCAAAATCACATGACCGTGACCCAGGTCTGGTCTGTGGACATGAAGGACGTCCCGTTGGATGTACACAAGGCCCTCTCACAGCCGTTGACCCGGGACATTACCACCCTCCTCGAAGTCAGCAGTATCTGTAATAACGCGAGGTACTCGCCGGAGACTGAGAGATACGTGGGTAACCCTACCGATATCGCTTTGGTCGAGTGCTTGCCTCACTTCTGCGTGGAGGACATGAGAGGCACCAGAGAGAGGGTGAACGAGTTGCCATTCTCCTCCCTTAGAAAGTACATGGCTGTCTGTGCGCACAGCGGTGACAAGAGCAAGTGCGAGACCTTTACCAAGGGTGCGATTGAAAAAATCTTGGAAAAGTGTGTGAGCTACTACGACAAGGCTGGCAAGCCAAAGCCGTTAGACGAAAAGACCAGGGCCCAGATCAACGACATGGCCGAAACCTTGGCTTCCAAGGGCTTGAGAGTGATTGCGTTGGCCAAATGTGCTGGTACCTTCACCACCGAGCCGTCCGACATGGTGTTTGCTGGTTTGGTAGGCATGAACGACCCTCCTAGGCCGTCTGTCCGCAAAGCCATTGCTCGTTTGATGAGAGGCGGTGTCCACGTGATCATGATCACCGGTGACTCCCAGACCACCGCTGTCAACGTTGCCAAGCAGATCGGGATGCCGATCAACGATCCTCGTGTATCAGTGATGACCGGTGACAAGTTGGACAGCATGTCTGAAGAAGCATTGGCTGCTGCCATCAGCAATGTGTCCGTGTTTGCCCGAACCACCCCAGAGCACAAGGTGGCAATTGTCAGAGCCTTGCAGCGTCGTGGTGACATCGTGGCGATGACCGGTGATGGTGTCAATGATGCTCCAGCTTTGAAGCTCGCGGACATTGGTATTTCGATGGGTAAAATGGGGACGGATGTTGCCAAGGAAGCCTCAGACATGGTGCTTACCGACGATGATTTCTCCACCATTTTGAATGCAATCGAAGAGGGCAAGGGTATTTTCTACAACATTCAGAACTTTTTAACCTTCCAGCTCTCTACCTCCATCGCTGCCTTGTCTTTGATTGCGTTGTCGACCTTACTCAAGCTTCCAAACCCGCTTAACGCCATGCAGATCTTGTGGATCAACATCCTCATGGACGGTCCACCAGCCCAGTCTCTTGGGGTGGAGCCGGTGGATCCTGAGGTCATGAACAAGCCTCCAAGATCGCGCAACGACAAGATCTTGACCACTGCCGTTATCAAGCGCTTGTTGCAGTCTGCCGCAACTATCATCACCGGGACTATGTTTGTGTACATGCGCGAGATGAAGGACGAGATCACCGCCAGGGACACTACTATGACCTTCACCTGCTTTGTGATGTTTGACATGTTCAATGCCTTGGCGTGCCGTCACAACACTAAATCTATCTTCTCCATGGGCATGACTAACTCGATGTTCAACTTTGCGGTTGCCGGGTCTTTAATCGGCCAGTTGTGCGCGATTTACGTGCCGTTTTTCCAGCGTATCTTCCAGACCGAGGCGTTAAGTGCAGGCGACTTGCTCTTCTTGTTGTGTATTACCAGTACGGTGTTTATCGGGGATGAGATTAGAAAGTTCTTGTCAAAGAGCAATGGGATTTCTTCTCGCTACAGTTATAACGTCTAGGCTACCAAGCTCTGATGTGGGTCTATATCGGTGATTCCACCCACTGATGCTTGCACTTCCTTTGAGGCGTATAGTGATGGGGTGGTAGTGAAGTGCCACCCGACAGGGCAGTGTCCCATTTGTGCCATATAATATAGAAACGGTCTTTCATATGTATTTTACACTAATCTTGTAATGAATGCGGTAGAGGCGTCAGACCAGATGCATCAAAGTGTACATAAACCATAGGCAAGCATCCTTCACAAAAATCTGACAATTTAGTGATGATCATGACCCGTCTCTCGTATTATTTACGTGGCGCTTCTTAGACTATTCATCAGCCTACGGTTCTGCTCATGCCAGTTTCTGCCCTCTTTGATTCTATCTACGAGAAATTAAGTCATTACATGTCTGCAATCTATATACAGATACCGTTACAGCCTTTTCGTTACAATCCACCATCGACAATCTCGCCTGCAGCCTTGCTCAACCGATTCATCACCGCCAATCCCTCATTCGACTCGTCGATGCCCTCAACAAAGATGACATCCACTCCCATCTCGTCCACCTCTCTCAACATGGCAAACAAGTTGCGCGAGATGTCAGCGCCAGTCGTGCCCATGTCTCTCTCCACCTGGATCAACGGGGAGCTCTCAAAGAACCGAGATTTCAACAACGCGCACTTCTTGTTCTGCAACCCATTCTTGATAATGTATTCCTCCACTCTGGCACCAGTTCCAGAGTTCACAAACAACACCACCTTGGCCTTGGGTGAATAGTGTCTGTACTTCATACCGGGAGTTCTCACGGCTTCCATTTTCCCCGCGGTTTTCTTGGCTAGCACGACATTCTCCCAAGCCAGGCCACCGAATTTTCGGATGTCCTCGACGGAAATCCCACCCGGTCTCAACAACATCGGCGGGCTCACCAAACCATCTACAACGGTTGATTCCACTCCGACGTCACACGCACCACCGTCTAAAATCATCGGGATCCTACCCTGAAGGTCCGCATACACGTGGCTGGCGAGGGTAGGGCTCGGCCTGGTGGAGGCATTAGCAGAGGGAGCAGCGATCGGGGTATCGCTCAACGCGATTAACGCCCGGGCGACGGGATGGGCCGGAATGCGAACCGCAAAGGTAGGCTGGTTGGCAGTGACAAGCAGTGAGAGAGGGGAGCTGGGGAAGACGGGAAGCAAGATGGTCAAGGGCCCTGGCCAGAACTTTGCAAGCAACGGAGTATAGATCTCGGGAATCTCATAGTCTTCAGGAAGAATCTTGCGCTTCAACTGAGATAAGGAGGAGACGTGTACGATTAACGGGTTGTCTGCTGGTCGGTTCTTGGCACGGTAGATAGATCTGACCGATTCGTCGCTGAGAGCAGAGCCCCCCAAACCGTATACGGTTTCAGTAGGGAACCCAACAACGTCAGTGGTGTCATGGAGAATAGCCGCTGCGGCTAGTAGGTTTTTTCTGGTGACCGCATCGCTGATGATAGGCTCGTCGGAGGAGCCGAATGTGATGGAGGACGTGTCTACGGGTAAAATGCGAGTGTTCATGGCTGTATGGAGCAAGCGGCGCCCTTGCAATTTGGAAAACGTTTTGAAGTTGTGTGAATTGCCACACGGAAGATAAGGCGGTAGGGGTGGTACTTTCGACACAATCGGTTGGAGATAGGTGTTTTCAACTTATCGGAGTTTGGGCAAAAATTTTATTTTTCAAAATGCAGGATAGGTTTGGCGTGAAGCTGCGCAGAATAATGTAATTGGGGTCCCTGGAGATGAAGGTAGTTCGGTAGCAAACGTATAAAATCTGTTGGTTCAATCAATATATACTATGTCTATTTTAAATATATATAATACATATTTTACAAACATATAATACATATTTTACCTACATATATAATGCTTGCTTTGCATAAAAAATTAACATACTTATATAATTGAATTACGTTAAGATTAAGCAGGAGAAATATAAATACAACCAGTCAGCCCTAGCATGTGTTATATAGTGAGTTGCTAACGCTAACCATAAATTCGTATAACTATGACACCCTGTTTCAATAATCCTTCTGCTCACCGGAAACCGCTCATACTTCATTGAAAAGCCTCGAGCTTCAACGGAACACTGCTACCTCTACCACTCGGGTACAACTTCTCCTTGCCCTCGAAGCGTCTCGGTTTTGGCAAGTTGTTTTTATTCACATATTTGTATCGAGCGTCGTCAATCACAAACCTTTCCGTGGCGGTAGCACCAGGGGCAACTTGGGAGCCGGTGATAGTGTACGACGAAGTATCGATTTTTCTCAAGCTAGAGGCAGCAGGTGTGATACCAGTGGCTGGAGCGGTAGTCTGAGCCGAGTTTCCAAACATACGCAGCTTTGTGGATGCTTGCGGGGGAGCTGGCGCCGACAGAAGAGGTAAGGATGGCGGCGGGATCGTTTCTTGAGGAGGAGCAGATTGGGGCAACGCTGGTGGGGGTGCAGATTGTGGGGGTGGGGCTCTTCGAGATGAAGCCGGAGGACCAGCGATTATCGAAGAAGGTGGAAGGGCGGGCGGCTGTTTTGGTGCGGAAACCTGTGGAACCGGAGGCGCAAATGATGTCGGAAGTTGTGGCGCAGATGCCGCTGGGGCCTTTGGAATACTCGGAGAAGGGCGGGGGACAGGATTTGAATCACTTCCCGATGGAGGGGTGGATGAGCCATCAAACACATTGGAGTCATCCCTCCTACTTTGAATCCCTGCCAAGAACGGTAAGCCCCCTGATGGAGGTGGTGGAACAGGTGGTGCTTCCATAGAAGGAGGGGAAGCTAGTACTGGTGGTGGAGGTGGCGCAGACGACACCTTTGGAGCAGAGTGACCGGGAGCCTTTGCCCCATCAATCACATTACTATCATCACGTTTGTTATTGATGGCAGCAAGGAAGGGCAACCCTCCAGAGGGTAATGGGGGCGCGGGAGGGCTCACAGAGGTTGGAGGGGCGGGGGCCAGCGGAATTTTTGGAGCACCTTGGCCGCCAAAAACATGCTTATCATCTCTTTTGTTGTTGATGGCGTCTAAGAATGGCAACCCACTAGGAGGAGGAGGAGGAGGAGGAGAAGGGATCTTGGGAGCCGACATCGCATTAGCCTCGTCTCTCTTATTGATCAGAGCTAGGAATGGCAAACTGTCAGAGGGAGGGGCAGGAGCACTGGAGCTCGCTTTGCTAGTCCCCCCAATCACGTTTTTGTCGTCTCTCTTCTTGTTGATTTCTCCCAAGAACGGTAACCCTCCAGAGGGCAATGGCGGTGGCGGAGGAACCCCTGATACAGGGAGCGGTGGGGGAGCACCTATTGACGGAAGTTTAGGAGGAGGAGGGGCTTCCAGAGATGGAAGTTTTGGAGGAGCAGGAGCACTGGCACTAGGAACTGGTGGCGGTGGAGGGGCAGAGAACGAAGGGGGAGGCGGCGATACGGGCATTGGAGGAGGGCTGGTAACCCCCAAAGACGACCCCGAAGGTGACCTAACGTGCTCAGGTTTCTTTGGTCTAGGCGGCACGAGATTCTTTTTCGGTCTTGTGGGGATACTTGGGGTCGAGCTTGCAGGGGGTATTGGCGGAGCCAGAACAACCGGGGCTGAAATCCTAGGAATCGGAGGGGCTGTCCCAACAGGAGGGCTTGGAAAGCTCGGAACGGGGGTATACCCTGGAGGCTTGGGAGCTGAAGACCCTGGCACTGGCGGCGCTGAGCCGAAGGGAACGGGAGGAGCAACGGCTTGTGCGTCATATGAGGGGACCCTCCGGTGGGGCCTAGAGGGCACAGAGGGATTTGAAGCTGATGGTGGAGGTTTGGCTCCACTGGCGCTTCTTAACTTGGGCATACCACCGGCAAAAATGTCGCCTAGTTGCGGAACTGGCGGGGCGCCGCTCACGGGCGCTTGTGGGCTAGAGTGCGAAGGGGCGCCGGAGGATAAAATTGGCGGAGCTGCCATGGAAGTTCCAGGCAGATCAGTAACTCTTCCAGCTATTGCTGGAGCACTTCGATCCTTGGTTTCTGTCTTCTTCAACTTGAAGCCTTTGTGGATGTCGCCAAGAAGAGCATTGACGGAGGGTGGCGGGTTGGGCGTGGAGCCACCCATTGGTGGTGGAGGAGGAGGAGGAGGAGGCGGTGGCATCGAGCGATGAACAATGGGTTGCAGATTAGCAAGCTGTGTGAGATAGATCAACCGTACGGATGGGGCTACATAAAAGCAAAATCAGTCAAAGCCCCCCCGGGGCTATCGATCTGGCGGCTAGAGACTGTGCAAGACACGACTGAGGGGCAGTGCATAGGCAACATCCGGGATGTTGTGGGGACCACACTTCGGGTGTGAGGTGCATGGGACTGGAAGCCACTGGATAGTTGTTTAGGGCTATCCGGGGATAATAAACTCTCAGGCTCTACACTGATTTTTTTACCATAGGTGCAGACGTCTTTTAACGCCGCATTGGAAGCTAGGCTCGCCAATGAATATGGCTTAACCGAGCAACGTGGAGGTTCATGCTGTACCCTTCCACCTAAAGATTACGACTCGTCGAGAAGACCAGCAGGGGCTACCAGTGAGTTGAGACTTTGTGACGGACAGGAGGTGGTTACGCCGCCAATGGTGAAGGAAACCGCACAGGTGGGTTTCTCTACGAAGTATGTGGGCACTAGCAGTAGTTTGCAAACCTATAACATATTTTAGATTCAAGTATTAGGTATATCCCACGTACGAAAGATCGATGGGCGCCATTTACGGCGGTTTGAAGAACCGGCTCTTGTCACATGGCAGATGTGATGGGCGGCACTTCGATGGGTGTGCACGTGACCTAATGCTTTCATGCGATTTTCTCTAGACTGGGTATCTGTAGAAATCTCACTATAACCTATTGTCGAGACACAGTATATCAAAGAACCATCGAATATGGGAGTAGGTATCCTGATTTTAGCTCCTCCATATGGCGTGCTCTCTAGTGCGGATTACTAACCTTCCAGGCTGACGGTGGCACGATTGTCAAGAAGAACAACCAGAAGGAAGCAATCAAAGAGTACAAACATTCTTCCAGCCAACTTGTGGAACTCTCATCCAATGACACATACATGTGTCCTCTCTCACTGGAGGTCTTAGCGAGTCCAATTGTGGGGGATTACTTAGGCACCTTTTACAACAAAGACGCAGTGCTCCAGCTCGTGCTTGATAAAATGCAAGGGACAAGAACCGAAAAGTACACTCACTTGACTTCGTTAAAAGACGTGGTGGATATAAACGCCGTCTGGAATGAGGAAAAGACCCGGATCGTCTGCCCAATCATGAATAAGGAGTTCCAGCCCGGGAGCGTGGGCAACGAGTTTGCTTATTTTGTTCCGTGTGGATGTATGTGCCAGGCGAAGGTGATCAAAGAGCTCGATAGAAAGTTGTGTCCAGTTTGCAACGAAAGCATCCAGCCACGTGACGTTATCGCCGTGTTTCCTTCACAGGAGGAAGAGGTGAAGTTGGAGGAGCGAATGGCGGAGTTATCAGCCGCGAACTTGACGCATTCTTTGAAGCCCAAAAAGTCAGAAAGGAAGACCAAGAAGCGGAAGGGTGAGGGCCGGATGCCAGGGATGAAAAAAGCAAAGATTTAGGTTGCGGTGCGAGCATGTACAACTATCTGGGATATAAAGGGGCAGCGTTGTCCCCGAAAGGAAAACATAAAGAAATAACAGGCAATTTACCGGCCGCTGGTCTTGCAGTTTTAGCGGCTTTGTTTTGCCATGGGATAGTATGGCTGTAACGCCGGATCCTTTCCACTAGAGACTTACAGAATACAGTGCTTCTTTAAGTATGCATAGAAGGCACATGAGATAGTATGTTTATTGGCGAAAAGGCGGATGGAGAGTGATACGGGTTAGCTTGATGGTGGCTGGTGCTATCAGTAGCTGGTCTCTGAACAATGCTGGTTCGAATACAGCTGCGCAAGTATAGCGGTTCAATTAACTCTGATTTTTAATCACCAAAATGTAGATCGATAGGCATCCACCTGTAACGTGATATCTAACTTTACCAGGCCATGTTCAACTATGGAAGATTCCAGAGATAGGCTCTTGTAGCCACCGCAGACTTCACCCATAGTGTAATATTTGACACTGATTGAACATAGGGGTAGTTTCCTTAAACCCGTACATTTACAACTAGCAAACCTGTTCTCTCAGTTTCTACGACTACATCTATATTTTCAATGCTTCGTTTAATTTTACCCACTACGCCATGTCGGCGATGCGAGCCAACATCCCAGATAACTGCAAGTAACTGGAGACCCCCTCAAGAACATGCATGTGGGTGAAGCCAATCTCGCGGATCAACTCTAACCGCCGGCCCTCCTTGATTTCGACCATGTTTTTCGTCACCTTGAACGACGTGGAGGCAATATCCACAGCAGAGTAGCCCTTAGCCCATAAGGTGTTCAAGTAGTCAATCGCGTCGTCGATTTGCCCGGCAGAGGCCGACAAGACCATCTTTCTGACCACAAGCGGATGTGGCGAGTCTACGACCCTGAAGACGTTTTCGCCAGAGACGAATGTGAATCCCGCGACAGTGCTTTGCAAATTGTTGATCGCCTGTCGCATGTCACCCTCGGCGGTGAAAATCAACGCCTCTAACCCATCATTCGCATACTCCACACCCTCCGCCTTGATCACCAGCAACAAGCGGTCCAACACCTGTTCGTCCAGCAAGCGTGTGTAGCGCAAAATTGCGCAACGCGACTGCAACGGCTCGATAATTTTGTTCGACTGGTTGCACGCAAAGGCAAACCGCGTGGTGTTGGAGTAGATCTCCATGGTTCGTCTCAACGCCTGCTGCGCACCCGCGGTCATCGAGTCGGCCTCGTCCAAAATGACAATCTTGTGTTTCCCCGGCGCCAACTGCACTTTTTTCTGTGCAAACTGTTTGATTTTGTTCCGCACCACCTCGATCCCACGGTCGTCCGACGCGTTCAACTCGAGCACCGCATCACCGTAAGACTCGCCGAGCAACTCATGCGCGAGACAGTGAATGGAGGTTGTCTTACCAATGCCCGGCAACCCGGAAATGATCAAGTGTGGCATGTTTCCGTCTTGCGCAATCAACTGGAGCCGTTCCACCGTCTCGGCATTTCCGACCACATCTTTCAACACCTTGGGGCGGTACTTTTCTACCCATGGGAGCTCTAGCTTGAGGGCTTTCGACATTGTAGTAGCAGGTATAGGGGGGAGCAGATCTCTGGCAAAAGTGGTGCAGAGCCGGTGGAGTTTAAATTCGACGCGTCGCGTGAATGATTTTGGAGCGTGCAGGAGATGAAAAATTAGACGCAAAAAAAAGGTCGTACCCGGATTCGAACCGGGGTTTATTGGATCAGAACCAACAGTGATAACCACTACACTATACAACCTGTAATTGTTTCTGTCAGGGTTCCAGCGCCTGTTGGTATTCCAGTCGGGGGGTTGTAATCAGTCATTGATTCACAAGTTACTTATCGTGATCTTCCACAAAAATAAAGATAATATTAAAACCAAGATCATTCTTAGATCTGGAAAACTACTTCCTTATATAGCTTTCTTCGGTGCCTCAT